GTTCTGCGTGACTTTCTGGGCGTCCTGGCCAAGACTTCAATGCGTAGCCGCCTCCCCCTCGCACCGCACGTACTGTGCTGAGGGTCTCCAGCGAACCCTTCCAAACCCCTCAACCCAAGCCAAGCTGGTTCAGGGTTTAGGGTTTAGGGTTTGGGGTTTAGGGTTTAAGGTTTAGGGCAAAGAGGCACCGTCGCGAGCCGCACCACCGCCAGCACGCGGATCGTGCTGGGCCCCCTCGGTCAGCAGCCAGGAGCAGGAGCTGAGGCCCTCCGATTTCAGGTCTGTTTAGGGTTTAGGGTTCAGGGTTTAGGGTTTAGGGCACTCATTTTGTGATAAGCACGACCATCCACCAGGTCCAGCAGAATGCTGTGCAGCGAGAAAATCCACGGCGAAGCCAGGACTGCTGCCAGTCCAGAAAGTTTAGGGTCTAGGGTTTAGGGTTTAGGGTTTGGGGTTTAGGGTTTAGGGTTTAGGGTTGCGGGTTGAGGGTTTGGGGTTCCAGACCAGTCGCGGACGACAGGATTCGAGGGGAGCTCGAGCCAGGGTAGCCTTAAGATTGCTCGGGCATGGATCAGAGACCCGAAGCCCTAAACCCTCAACCCGAAGCCCCCCAAAATCCAAAACCCTAAATCCTAGGATTTAGGGTTTAGGGCTTAGGGTCTAAACCCTAAATCCTAAATCCTGCCTCGGACATTTCAGCCTCCGTTGTCGTTGGCTGCGTTTGCCTGGACAGTCGGCGCTTGAGCCGGTCCAGGGGTCTCGGGTTTCGGGTTTCGGGTTTCGGGTTTAGGGTTTGGGGTTGAAGGGCTTGAAGCTGGGTAGGGTGTTTGGGATTCGGGTTTCGGGTTAGGGCCACATGGGTGTAGGGTTTCCGGGTTCACAGGGTTTATAGGTCTTGTAGGATTTGTAGGGCTTATAAGGTTTATACGGTTTACATGGTTTAGGGCTAGGCATTTTGGAATCGAAGGAATTAGGGATCAGTGTGGAGAGCTTAAGATTTCGCGGGGGGAGGGGGGGGGGGGGTGGAGGTCCTTGCGTACTTAGGATCCTCTTTCGGCTGTTAAGCCCGAAACTCACTCAACTCACACAACTCCCTCAACTCCCCAGACCCTAAACCCTGTTAACCCTATTAACCCTATGAAACAAGCCCTAAACCCTTTGAGCCCTCAATGCCGACGGGTTGGCGCCCCGGAAAGCAAGGCCTGATGCAAGAGGACTTTTGTTGTCAAGAGGGCTGCATTTTTCTGAAGGGTTCGGTGAACACACTAACCCTCACAGCCTAAACCCTAAACCCTAAACCCTAAGCCCGAAGCCCTAAACTCTAAACCCTAAACTTTCCTAAACTTTCCTAAACCCTAAACGGTACATACCTTCCTAAAGCTGGTCTGAGCATCCAACCCATCGCCATGCTCCTCCTCGCCCATGGCGGTTTCTTGGTGGCTCCTAGGCCTGTGTGGGTGGTTGATGGGCCCTATGGCAGTTTACTACGTTGGCCCCTAAACCCTAAACCCTAAACCCTAAGCCCGAAGCCCTAAGCCCTAAAGGCCTAATAGGCCATCCAAGGGGGGGGCTCTAGTTTCGGGCGCGCCCAAGCTTCTGAAGGCGGGTAGTATGCCCCACACCCTTAGACCTGCTTTGGCCAATGTCAACACTACGCACGGTAAACCTTTCAATTATATTTTTCCCGAATTCACTATATCCATGGTCGATTAGAAAGTAGAAAATCCTGTAGTTGCTTCGAAACCCTACAAGATTCAAACTCCCTAGTTGCTTGGAACCCTGCACCCTAAACCATCAACGCTAAACCCCTAAACCCTAAAACCTGGAGTTGCCTTCTGACTATTGAGGGTTGAGGGCTCGACAGAAGATGGCTGAGAGCTGGTCAGGATTGCCATGCCAAACGCCTCAACGCGCCCTAAACCCTAAACCCAAAACCCAAAACCCAAAACCCAAAACCCAAAACCCAAAACCCTAAACCCTAAACCCTGGACCGATCCCGCCATCCCCCGAAACCACCAGCCTAAGAGTCCATGCACCTTATAATTGGCCTGTAGGGTTTAGGGTTTAGGGTTTAGGGTTTAGGGTTTAAGGGTTGAGGGTTGAGGATTTAGGGTTTAGGGTTTCGGGCTCCATAATCCGTGTGTCTCGTTAATTAATATACCCTAGGGTTTAGGGTTTAGGGTTTAGAACCTTAATAAACATGATATTTTTACATATCCACTTGGGTTTTATATGAACAAAAAAACTCCCAAGGGGGATCTAGTATTTAGGTACCTGAACGATAAGGGCAATTGACCACCGCCGGCACACACCCAAAGAACAAATGCTGGCTATGCCCCAACACAACCCTATGCTTGCCTTATAAAATCACGAACTCACAGGAGGCCCAAACCGCACACCCTAAACGCTAAGCCCGAAGCTGCAAATCCTAAACCCCAAATCAGCAGCAGGGAAACGTGGGCTTGGAACCTGAGTGTAGGCTGGAGGGCCCACGAGAACATGTGTTCCCTGGTTTGGGGTTGGACAGGTTCAGTGTTGAGAGTTTGGGGTCAGGGTTTGGGCTTTGCGTTTCTAGCTTCGTGGCTCAGCTTTGGTTGAGAAGAGCTGGTTTGAACTTTTCATGTGTGACAAGGGACTTGAGGGTTCATAGTGAATTTGGGGCACAAGCAAAGACTACTGAGGTATCTAAACCCTCAACCCCAAGACCCTGAAAACCCATACCCTCGACGATTCAGGCACATGGACCCTTACGAAAAACTCTTTTGCATCCTTCAGAACTCTAAACCCTAATCCCCAAACCCTAAACCCTAAACCCTCAAACAACAAACACACAATACTGGACCCTTTCGAACTGTTTTGCATCCTACAGATGATCCAGTCCTCTGCATCCTTCGAATAACTTGGCCTGGAACAATGCCTTTTCGTTAGGTGGGGCAGCTGTCTAGGGTTTAGGAGTATGGTCCTTTCTGGGGGGGTCCCTAAACCCTAAACCCTAAACCCTAAACCCTAAACCCTAAACCCTAAACCCTAAACCCTAGACCCTCCCTAAACCTAAACCCTAACCCCAAACCCTGAACCCATGGGTCTATAGGGTATAGGGTGTAAAGTCCCAGTTCTAGGATATAGAGCCTTCTATTTGGGGTTTGCAGTCAGGGGGCCGTAAATCGAAAAGTAAACTGCCCAGGTAAGATCTCCGCAAGCTCTTCCACTGCTCATGTGGACTTCTTAGGAATTGTAGGAATTGGGAGGTGAAGGGTCGAGGATTGAGGGTTGGTGGTAAATCTAGATTGTGGAGGGTTTAGGGGATTTAGGGGTTTCGAGGTCAGGGGATGCCCCACAAGAGCTTTTTCGTTTCATTTCAGATTCTCGGTATACTTAGACTTATACTTCAGACCACCCAAGGGCCCTTCTTCGCATTTAGTAGGCCCCCCGTCTTCGTTTCCCAGCAACCATGTAATAAGCCACATGCAGGGGAGGTTGCGTTTTTGAGGGAAGCTGGAAAAGGGGCACCACGGGGGCTATATGGCAAGCTAAACTCAACCTGAAGCGCTAAACCCTGAACCCCAAACCCCAAACCCTAAACCCTATCAACCCTAAACCCTATCAACCCTCAACCCTAAACCCTAAACCTTAAACCCTAAACCCTAAACCCTCTGAGCATAACGGAGGCCGGGCATTCAAGGGCTTGCCAGAATTGCCTGGGGAAAGCAATGCCCGCCACAGGGGAAAATCCGCGCCTCATGCGCGGTGGGGACTGGACTGGCAAGCCCCAAAACTCTAGACAAAGGGGTATCAGGAGGGACCCCTAGAAGGTACCCTTAATCTTACTCCCCGAAAAAAAAGTGTATATTATGCACACCTTATGATCGTCCCTACATGCATAAGTAGCCCTTAACAACCCCTAAAGAACCCCTAAGGCCCCCTATAAGGGTCCCTCCTTTAGGCCCTTGCTAGAGTAATTCAACTCTGGAACATCCTTATCCCCATACACCAAAAGGTATACTAAAGGGAATCCCAGCTTCACTCATCCTTAAACCATGGTCCAACTTTCTGGAGTTTGCTGTAAGGGGCCCATGTATCCAAACCGGGAATACTTGTGGCTTAAAGTACTTCCGATATAGGGACTTTGGGGCCAAGTATGTAATCATGAGGTACATGGGCCCCAAACCCTAATCCCTAAACCCTAAACCCTAAAAACAACTCGCAAGTCGACCTGCGATTGCCAAGGTGAAACATCGGATTTGCTAGAGACACTCCTTGCATACTGGAGCGTGCGCCGAAAAATGGAAGACGGACGGCCTCACCTTGGCAGCCCAGTACCCATATTATAATAAGGGCACCCTAAACCCTAAACCCTAAACCCTAAACCTTAAACCCTAAACCCTAAACCCTAAACCCTTTTTTGGGTTGGCTATTTTATAAGGGAACCCATAACCAAAAAAAAACAGGGAAAAGGGTACCACTGGGCTACTAAGTCACTGTGCGAGACTGCCGCGGGCCGCTCCAGCAGAGTGTGCCGAAGGAGAAATACTTTGCCTTGGGAGCCGGAGGGTCTAGGGTCTAGGGTTTAGGGTAAACCTATGGGCATAAATCGGGGTCACCGGAACATGCGCCCCAAAACACTCTACTCCCTATTATCGGAACCCCCCTAAAAGAGTTACCCCGCCCCCCCCCCCCCCCCCCCAATTTTGGGAAACCCCATACTGGTATTGGTCATTTTATGGCGCTGGCTACGACAAAGGGAAAGCATGCCACTGGCCACCAAGTTGCGAATATAAATGTCTTTCAGATCCGCGGATCAACCGATATCAAGTCAGGAACTCGCTGTGCCAAAATTCCCAAAGGGAGGGGGGTTCGAGGGGGGTACGCAACCCAAGCTTCCCCAATGCTCCCTACTGGCCCCTAAGGCTCCCTAAGCTTCCCTAAGGCTCCCTGTAGGTACCTACCTCCTTGAATCCCCCTCCCTTAAGCACCCCTATAACAACTTCCCATTCATCCATTCATGGGTTGGACTCCTCCTCTTCCACCTCTAGAGCGTGCGCTTTGTGATCCACATCCGAGAGCTTTCGGTCACATCGGGACTTTCCTTCCAACCACCACATCAGGGCGGCAAACACCACGGAGATGGCCAGGAAGATGAAGGCACCGGCGACGCTGTCTTGGTACGCCTTCGCGAAGAGGGGGCTCACAAAGGTTTTGGGAAATGATTGTAGCTTTGAGGGTCTACGTACCTGACACTTGTACTTGTCCCCCCCCAGACATTCTACAGCAATGGCACTTAAAGACCATGTCATCTCTTCAGGTACATGGACGCTTACGGGTCAATGCGTAGTAACCTACCCTAAACCCTAAACCCTAAACCCTAAACCCTAAACCCTAAACCCTAAACCCTAAACCCTAAACCCTAAACCCTCAACCCTAAACCCTAAACCTACCAAAACCCAACACGATAGTTGGGGACGCATGGCGTTCGGGGCAGCCTCGAGCTGGCTGTGGCTGGCATTCTTGGGGGCCCTCAGGGTTTAGGGTTTAGGGTTTAGGGTTTAGGGTTTAGGGTTTTCTGGGACCACCCTGGCACCTTCCTGGACTCACCCTGAAACCCTTTGTATAGGACAAAGGGGCAGACGCGCTGGAAGTCCTGGGAATTCCCTGGGACTCATACAGTATACTGCTGGATGGAAGAAGTTTCTGGAAGTCGGCAGTTGACTTGAGTTTAGGCCTAAACAGGTTAGGGTGGTTTTGCCGCCTGAGACGGCGTGGGAGATAAGTGTTAGATGGCCCTCCACATTCGCGCCATAGATTCTCTTCGCATTTCACGAAGTTTTCGAAGCTAGTCTGCGTCCAAACCTTCACAGCTTCTGCGCCATATCACAGCAAACTCTAAAACCCACACCATAAACTCTAAACCCTAAACCCCAAACCCTAATCTGTGGTCATGCTCGAAGCGTCGCGCTTGCAGACTCGAAGGGCTTTTCAGGAACTGCTTTCGGACCTCACAAAAGCGAAGGCGCGCAGCGTTACAATTGCCCAGACCCCAAGTAACCGCAAATGCCCTAAAAAAATTAATTAAACAAAAAGCGAAGCCCCCTGAGTCGCGCTGTAAACCCTAAACCCTAAACCCTAAACCCCAAACCCCGAACCCCAAACCCTAAGCCCCCAAACCCCAAACCCCAAACCCCAAACCCCGAACCCTAAGCCTTAGACTCCAAACCCTAAACTCTACACCGGGTTTAGGCATAGTGCTAAACTTCAGACCCCAAATCGCACACCCCAATCCCTAGGGTTGAAGGTTTAGGGTTGACACCCGACAACTGAGCCCCCAAAACCCTGAAGCCTGAACCCTAAACCCTAAGCCCTAATCCCTAAACCTTAAACCCCGACATATCTCCGGGCACGCCTGCGAGGAGACCTGCAGACCGAATCCTAGGAGTCCCACCTTGGCTGGTTTAGGGTTTAGGGTTTAGGGTTTAGGGCTCAGGGTTTAGGGTTTAGGGCTTCGGGCTCAGGGCTGAGGGTTCCGGATGATAGCTCACAATAAGGCTCGTTTTCCTGCGCTAGGCAACTGAAACCAAATGAAGCCTTCTGGCTCATCGCTGGGGCTAAGCTCTGAATAAACCCTAAACCCTAAACCCTAAACCCTAAACCCTAAACCCCAACGTTTCCTAAAGGGTTTAGGGCTTAGGGCCATGAACTCTGCCAACAGAAACACTACTCCAAGGGTGCAATACTAAAGTGCTTGAGCCCTGAAGCCTAAGCCCTATAACCATCAACCCTAAACCCTAAACCCTATAACCCTGTAACCCTATAACTCTATAACCCTAAACCCTGAACCCTAAACCCTAAGCCCTAAAACCCTTCGGGCTATCCATAGACATAAGCCCTGGTAAGTCGATCGAAGCGGCTACAAGGAGGATCACGCGCAAGGCCTGTTGAGGGACTTAAGGACCGACCCTCATAAAGGACCTTCGGTGTTCGTCGGGGGTATTTAGGGGCTACTTAGGTATATATGGACTATATTTAGGGGCTACTTAGGTATATATGGACTGTATTTAGGGGCTACTTAGGTAGATATGGACTATATTTAGGGGCTACTTAGGTATATAAGGACTATATGCAGTTTATATAGGGGTTATATCGAGGAAGACGTGTGGGGTTTAGGGTTTAGGGTTTAGGGTTTAGGGTCCCTCCTTGCACCCCTTAATCGAAGCGGCTACAACGAGGATCACGAGCAAGGTCTGCAGGTGGTCCAGGCAGCCGAAGCGCCTTTGCAGGTCAGGGGCGCAGGGGTCGTCGTTTTAGGGATTAGGGCTGAGGGCTTCCTAAACCCTAAACCCTAAACCCTAAACCCTAAACCCTGAACCCTAAACCCTAAACCCTAAGCCCTAAACCCTAAACCCTAAATCCTAAACCCTAAACCCTAAACCCTAAGCCTCAAAAGCCTTGAGGCTTTCGTCCGCCAAGGCGCCTCGGAGCCAAGACGTCGCAAAGGGTGACCATCAGAAGGGAACCTCGGCTTCGCGGCTCGGGGGGTTCGTTTAGGGTTTAGGGTTTAGGGTTTAGGGTTGAGGGTTTAGGGTTGAGGGTTGAGGGTTGAGGGTTGAGGGTTTAGGGTTTCGGGTTTAGGGTTTAGGGGTGCTACTAATTTGGTGTTCTGAGACCTCTGCGTTTGGGAGCACCGGCTGGGAACAGTCGTGAGCCCTCAGCGCTACCTCCTCGAACCTGGGTACTCCCAAAACGCCAGGACCGGAAGGCCTCCTGTGAAACCTGAAGCACAGGGTTTAGGGTTTATATATATGTATACATATGTATAAATGAATAAATAAATAAATAAAAATAAAACAATAAATAAATAAAATAAATAAATAAATATATATATATATATATATGCAGATGGTTTAGGATTTAGGGTCTAAGGTCTGGGGCTGAGGGGGCCGACCTCAAAATCCTGAAGCACAGGGACAGGCCAGAATAAAGAAGATGTCATAGGCGATGAGGACGCCCACTGCGAAGGAAAGCAGACAGTCAAAGGGTGCGCCGCCCCTCCTGAGCAACCATATGACGTGAAGGGCTGCGGAGGGCCTTCGGCTTGGAACCATTCAGGGTTTAGGGGTTGCGGTTTAGGGGTGGGGGTTTAGGGTTTGGGGTTTAGGGTTTGGGGTGTAGGGTTTAGGGCTTAGGGGTTAGGATTTGGGGTTTAGGGTCTGGTGTTTAGGGTTTGGGGTTTCGGGTTTGGGGTAAAGGGTTTGAGGAATACTTTGAGTTTTCGCAAGTAGGTTGAAGAAAAGGGCCCCTCGGCTCCAGATATCCTACTTATAGTTTAGGGTGCTAACCTCCTTACTTCTTCAGTAACCCGGGAAAAGAACGTTAATTGTCAATTCTTCCTACGGAGATAAGGAAGGCCAACAAGTTTCAAGTTCTAGAATTGGCTGGGTAAGGCCCAAGTCAGATCAGCCTCCACAAATGAACCCCAAACCCTAACCAACCCTAAACCCTAAAAACCCTAAAAACCCTAAAAACCCTAAAAACCCTAAAAACCCTAAAAACCCTAAAAACCCTAAAAACCCTAAAAACCCTAAAAACCCTAAAACCCTAAAACCTAAAAACCCTAAAAACCCTAAAAACCCTAAAAACCCTAAAAACCCTAAAAACCCTAAAAACCCTAAAAACCCTAAAAACCCTAAAAACCCTAAAAACCCTAAAAACCCTAAAAACCCTAAAAACCCTAAAAACCCTAAAAACCCTAAAAACCTAAAAACCCTAAAAACCCTAAAAACCCTAAAAACCCTAAAAACCCTAAAAACCCTAAAAACCCTAAAAACCCTAAAAACCCTAAAAACCCTAAAAACCCTAAAAACCCTAAAAACCCTAAAAACCCTAAAAACCCTAAAAACCCTAAAAACCCTAAACCCTACTCTGGGCAGAGTCAAGGCTTCCAGTTGGCCAGGAAGAACTCGGTCTCCACGCTGAAGAGCGGGGTAAGCCTGGATATCTCAATCAAGGATGGCCCTTGGAACCCTCTTAAGGTTTAGGGTTTAGGGTTTAGGGTTTAGGGTTTAGGGTGTAGGGCCCCCTAAATCCCTCTTGAAAAATATTCCTACGTCGTTGTAAACCCAGGAAGAGAACGAATGAAACATCCAAGGGCCTACCTAGCCAAGGTTGTGCGAAGTCTTCAGCCGCCCTCCTGAAGTTTAAGCCACTACTCTTTGCTTAAGAACCCCACCCCAAAAATGCAACATATTCGGCCTTATACAACATATTCTTCCCTATGTGGGTAATATAGGTAAGCCTCTGACGGTACCCTAAACCCTAAACCCTAAACCCTAAACGCTAAACTCTAAACCTTAAACCCTGGTTCAGCTTAGAAGCAGCAGTAGCAAGTACCTCCTGGGAAGGCGCGTGGCGAAGAATCTCTGCTCCAATTCTCGCCTTTTCGGGGGTTCTTTTGGTTTAGGGTTTAGGGTTCAGGGTTCAGGGTTTAGGGTTTAGGGTTTAAGGTTTAGGGTCTAGGGTTTAGGGCTTCGGGCTATTCTTTTAGGGCATATTCGGGAAGGGGGTTGGGGTTAGCCAACAGGCTTGGCAACACCTTATCAAAGCACCGGATAGTGGATATTCTACAAAGTAAATTATAAAGCCAAAGGCAAATTATATAAAAAAAAAACAATATATATATATATATATATATATATATATATTTATTTATTTATAATGGCAATGTATGTGGCGTAACAAGAGACAGCACTAATGCACTGTTGACAGCATATGTGTGTGTCGAGCTATCGAATAAGACAATACTATAGATCACAAGGCATGTGCCAGGCTAAGCTATCTACGCTAGGCTATGTCCCGGTTTAGCATCCTATGTTATATCAAAACAACACCATGGCAGATGGGAGTTTACGAAGATAAGGGACCCCTAAAATACACCGTCAAATAGTAGGATCCCCTTCCAATAAGGACCCCAAATAAGGTGATGAAACCTTGGAAGGGTTAGGGCTGAATAGGGTTTGGGGTTTAGGGTTGAGGGGTGTAGGGTCGAGTCTACGGGTGTAGGGCGTGCGGTGTCTTTGCCTGTGCTGAACGTGGCTGAGCTGTTTCCCGAATGCCGCCTGCCTGCTTGCTGACTTCCTGTCTTCTGCTTCCCGACGTCCCGACTCCAACCATTGAATGTGGCCACGGTTTGGGGCTTAGGGTTTGGGGTTTAGGGCTTAGGGTGTGGGGTATGGGGTTTAGGCTCCCTAAGCCCTAGTGTGGCTACCGTGCTGGTTTTGGGGCTGCGCATCGTCAGGCGCAACTCCTAGAAGTTTCTCCCATCACCTGTACAGATCAAGAAAGAACCATTTCGGGTTTTGGGTTCGGGGCTTTATTTCGGGGTTTAGGGCTTAGGGTTGGGGGCTTTAGCTCGGCGCCTCAAATCGTGTCGCACGAAGTGGGTGAAGGCCCTCTTGCTGCCATACCACTTCTCGATGGCAGAGTAGATGAATTCACCTTGCCACTTGGCAATTTCAGTCAGGGTTTAGGGTTTAGGGTTTAAAGTATAGGGTGACTCTTCGTCTCCTTTGTACTTAGGGTGTTGGGGTCTAGAGTGTAGGATTTAGGCTAGAGGCTCTAAGGCTTTGGCAAGTCTATGGCCCACTCCTGAACCCCGCCTAAAGGGTTTAGGGTTTAGGTATAGCGGTTTAGGGTTTCAGGTTTAGGGTTTAAGGTTTAGGGTTTAGGGTTTAGGGCCTTGAGGGTTTAGGGTGATGGGATCTAGTTTTGGAAACAACCCTAAACCCTAAACCCTAAGCCCTAAGCCCTAAGCCCTAAGCCCTAAACCCGAAACCCCAAACCCCAAACCCCAAACCCGAAACCCTAAACCCTAAACCCTAAACCCTAAACCCTAAGCTTGCATCCGTGGAGCGATCAAACTGCTCCGCGCAATTAACGTTCTCCAAGTCGAAGGTGGCCAGCTGGGAGATCAGCTGGTGCTTCTCCCGGAAGTTCATTCGAAGCAAATAAATACCTAGGATGATGGTTTAGGGTTTAGGGTTTAGGGTTTAGGGTTTAGGGTTTAGGGTTTAGGGTTTAGGGTTTAGGGTTTAGGGTTTAGGGTTTCGGGTTTCGGGTTTAGGGTTACCTAGGATGGCTTGGGACCTTAGCAGCCCAAGAAACCATAATATGAAGATAAGGGTACCCACTTTTGGGGGTGGCGACTGTCAGAAGGGGACCTAGAACTCGCTAGGGGAACCTAGAAACACAAAAAAAACAAAACAAAGCCACAGAGCACCGCCTGGGCTGCCAAGATACCGACGGTGTACGGAACCACCCACATGGCGAAGGAGAATGTAAACATAATGATCCCCGGACCGAGGAGGTCTCGTAGAATCAGAAAAACCATTCCGAAGATATAGGTTGAAGCCATCATCACCGCCACGACCCTTTCGATGAAGAGCGGTCGGAATGTGATACGCCCCTCCGGATTCACCTTCTTGTATGCTGCAAGCTCGAAGACACACCATAGCCTGTCAGGTGATGTACTTGCGAGATTCATGGGTGCTTATATCCTGCACTGGGGTTTAGGCTACTTATGTCCCCAATTATAAGTCTACTTGTAGCCTACTTAGATAAATTTGGAGTCATTTAAGTGCAGTTCTAATTGGGTTTCATAAGTACCCTGAACCTCCAAGTGCCTGTATGTATGTATGTATGTATGCATGTATGCCTGTATGTATGTATGATTATGTATGTATGATTATGTATGTATGTATGTATGTATGTATGGCGTGACTGCACCCTGCCACAAGCGTGGATAACAGCCAGTCAAGGCATTTACAAGTTTCGCACACTGCTAGTAGTTGATGGAGCGACCTGGGTAACCGCAGCTTCGTTTTTGGGGTACCCAAGCGGACCCCCCCCCCCCCCCGCCCGCCCCCTCCTGCCCCCTAACCCTCACCTTAATTAAGGCTCCAAGAACTTCTATTTTAGGGTTTTTGGGCCCAAAGGCGGAATTTATGAGGTTTTCGGGCTATTTTGAGCCTACGGGTCAGTTTAAAGAGTTCCCTAAACCCTAAACCCTAAAATTGCACGTGGAGAAGCAAAGATACTTTAGCAGCTTGGCGGCTGCGTGTGCGCATGCTTTGACTTCAGGGATGCAAGACAGTGTCATGCAAAGTGGGTTTAGGGTTTAGGGTTAAGGGTTTAGTGTTTAGGGTTTAGGGCTTAGGGCTAGCAATGCCATGAGTGCAATGTGGTGTGGTGCAGGTTCAAATGTTGGCGGAGGGGGTGATGGCAGGGCTGTCATGCAGAACGCCAACATCAAACCATTCTCATGAACACCGCCATGCTCTGGGTTCCACAGTAACCCAGAAAGAAGAAAACGAGTGCCTGTCTTCTTCAGACATTTTAGAAGTGAACCCAGCCCCTACATATGGAACAGGGGTACGGCAACCAAAAGCGCAAGCCAAAACAGGCATGCCTGATGCATAGAACGCATAGGCTGGACGCATGTTTAAGGTTTCGGGTTATACAGGGTTTAGGGTTTAGGGTTTAGGGTTTAGGGTTTAGGGTTTAGGGTTTAGCGATGGATGTGTTGCAGAACTTCGCCCGCCTCGACAAGTACGGTGAACTCCACAATATTCGCAGCTCGGATGAGATGCTCAAAAACCCAGCAATTCCGTAGACCTTGATTGATGGTTTAGGGTTTAGGGTTTAGGGTTCAGTCTCCTTATTGTCGTTTCCTACAATAATCCCCAAAAGCTTCAAAGTCCTCAGAGCCAGGAGTGAGCCAAGAGACCCCACGCTCCATCAACATGTGGTCCACCTGCTTGGAGGTTCATGGTAACTACTAACCAATCATAACTGCACTTACAACCATATTAGGGCCCTTAAGGGGCTTGTAAGACCCTAAACCCTAAACCCTAAACCCTAAACCCTGTACCCGGGTTATAAGTACAGTTAGTAAGTACCATGAACCTCCACCTGACAGCTGCAAGAACCCTGGCCCGCGCCATTCACATTTTGAGGGACACTTAAACGCGAGACCCTAAACCCTAAACCCTAAACCCTAAACCCTAAACCCGAAACCCGAAACCCCAAACCCTAAACCCTAAACCCTAAACCCTAAACCCTAAACCCTGAACCCTACAACTTCGGTCGACCTGCCATGTCCCTTCAAAACCTACAAGCTCAGGCCTTAAGGCCTTAGGAATGCTTGGAACACAGCCGGAACCATTCGAAAACCTCCCTGATTCCCTTCTACACCCCCCCTCCCCCCGCTAATTCTTTGTAGGGTTTAGGGTTTAGGGTTTGGGGTTTGGGGCTTGGGGTTTTTGCCGAAGCCCTTCCCCAATCCAACTGCCAGCTCTGCCTCGGTTCTTAGATCCTGCAGTTCATGAGTCATACGAGGGTTTCGGGTTTAGGGTTTGGGGTTTAGGGTTTAGGGTTAGGGGTTAGGGAGTGTGTTATAGGGGCTTCTTCAGGGAGGCGGGGTAGTAGCTAGGGAACCTTAGGGAAGCTTACGGGGCCTTAGGGAGTGGTGGGGAGTATGCCCCCCTCCCTTAAGGACCCTATAACACTCAGCCTGCAACAGGGCGACGACGATGACAACGACTACTACCACCACCGCCCGCACTACAGCTGGGCACAGAAACAGTAAACGTAAACGCAAAAAACACCAACAAAAAACTAAACCCCTAAACACGCAACCCTCTAAACCCTCTAAACCCTTTAAACCCTTTAAAACCCTTTAAAACCCTTTAAACCCTTTAAACCCTTTCAACCCTTTAAACCCTAGACACGATAAACCCTAAACCCTATACACCCTATGAGGGCTTACGGATGGAGGCCCTGTGTTGGCTGATTGTAGGCATATGGGGCTTTGAAGGCAGCCGTAGATCCTAAGAGCCAACAGCAGCCCGGGCTGTCTTGAACAAGGACAAGACAAGCAGCGAGGGTTAGGGTTTTAGGGTTTAGGGTTTAGGGTTCAGGGTTCAGGGTTCAGGGTTTAGGGTTTAGGGCTTAGAGTTTAGGGTTCAGGGTTTGGGGTCAAGGGTTTCCTGATTCATTGGTAGTTTGACAGGGTAGGTGGGGATCGGAGCTCACGTATGTGCGCTGTAGGGGCCAAGCTCTAATGGACAATCGATGTGGCTTTATGTTTCCATCACAACGACGAAAGACCTTCGACCAAGTAAATTGAAATGCCGAGATAGATTGTATTCTTCCCTAAGAATAGGGTTTAGGGTTTAGGGTTTAGGGTTTAGGGTTTAGGGTTTAGGGTTTAGGGTCTAGGGTGCGCCGGGCCTTTGCTGCTTGCTTTGGCCCTGATAAACCCGAAAAGCCATTCCTCCAAGCTCAACTCCAGCTGGCACTTAAAACCCAAACCTGTATAATATAGGGGCCTGAATAATTAGAATAGGGTTTGGGGGGGTCATTTTTGTATAATTACAGAGGGACCCTAACGGACTGATATTGGTAGTTACCCTAAACCCCAAACCCTAAACCCTAAACCGTGATACCCCTTGATAGAGAGCCTGGTGGATGCTTGTAACGTCAATGAAGCTCATGTCGTTGCCGTGGCACCTCCCGGGAATTAGGGTTTAGGGTTTAGGGTTTATAGTGTGTAGGGTGTAGGACCGCAGCACGGTGTACCCTTGGGTTGGGACCCCTTTCAAAGATCCCCGCAAGGGATATGGGGGTTTCCGAAATTAGGGGGGGGGGGGGGGGGGGTACCTTCTTGTGGGTCCTAATTATATGGGACATCCGACTATTAGGGGTTGATATGAATTAGGCACCAGTAACGGTAACATAAACCGTGTTGCATGTAGTTGCCACAGCTGGCTGTTAACTAGGAGAAAAAGTACCTCCTAACTTTTCCAAAGGCCTGTGGGGCAGGATGGAGACTGATGCCAGACTCAGCACGGTGGCCAAGAAGCCGGTAGCCAGCACCCAAAAGCCTGAAATGGCTTGTTGTTCAGAGTTTAGGGATTTTGGGTTTAGGGTTTAGGGTTCAAACCCTGAACCCTAACCCTAAACCCTAAACTTTGGCCCCAAAGCCTAAACCCTAAACCATCTAGGGTTTACAAACCTATTCCCTAAACCTTAAACCCTAAAACCACTAGGTTTTATAAACCCCACACCCTAAACCCTAAACTTTGGCCCGAAACACGAAACCCTAAACCCTGAACCCTGAACCCTAAACCCCTAACCCCTAAACCCTAACCCCTAAAAGCCCAGACGCTTGGGCCAACCAAGGAGCCCATCGGGCAGAGCTCGTTAAAGCCAAAGATTCGCGCCTGGGTTTAGGGTTTAGGGTTTGGGGTTTAGGGTTAGGGTTTGGGGTTTGGGGTTCAGGGTTTGGGGTTTAGGGTTTGGGGTTTGGGGCTTGGGGCTGAGGGTTTAGAGTGTAACCGATGTACCCTTCGAAGTTAGCGCAGAGCTTCTTGAGTTCGGAGAATTGCGGAGTCTTCCGTCTCTGCTGGTTTGGCCCGGCCATGGCGCAAATGCGGTTTGGAGCTTGGCGTTTTAAAGTGCTTCTAGGCATTTGTGCTGGGTGTGGGCTTGGTACTTGCGAAGAAGCGCACTGTGTCTAGAGCGGGTCTATTTTGGGACCCTAAACTACGTACTAAACACTAAACCCTCCCTCCTAAACCCTTAAGGGTTCATGTACCTCATTGTTATATACTTGGGCCCCAAGGTCCTTTTTTCCAGAGGAGGTACTGCAAGGCCCAAGTATTCCATATTCAGGCACATGGACCCCAAGGGCGAACCCTAAACACTGAACCCTGAACCCTGAACCCTGAACCCTGAACCCTGAACCCTGAACCCTGAACCCTGAACCCTAAACCCTAAACCCTAAACCCTAAACCCTAAACCCTAAACCCTAAGCCCTAAACCCTAAGCCCTAAACCCTAAACCCTAAACCCTAAACCCTAAACCCTAAACCCTAAACCCTAAACCCTAAACCCTAAACCCTAAACCCAAAGCCATGGCCCGGGCCTGGTATTTGAAAGGCATTGGGAGCACGCCTGCTTTGCAGAGGACGGCGCTGAGAATGATGGCACAGAACCTTGGTAGCCCAGTAAGGGTTTAGGGTTTAGGGTTTAGGGTTTAGGGTTTAGGGTTTAGGGCTACCACAAAAAGGGAAAAGGGTACCACTGGGCTCCCAAGGAACCAGCAAATCAAGACGTAGTGCCAGCCGCACTGAAAGGACAGGGAGAGAACCTTGGCGCCACGGTTTTGCCTTTAACCTCTGCAACTTCACATGTGGGTTTAGGGTTTATAGGGTTTAGGGTGTGGGTTGAGGGGCTTTTGCAGGTTTATACAGGTCTATGCACAGAGCTTCCTCTCCTGACTCTACCCAACACCTCGTAGGCTATCATTGTGGCATTGAGGGACCGGGTCCCTAAACCCTAAACCCTAAACCCTAAACCCCAAACCCCAAACCCTAAAACCCTACAGCGATTTCAAAAACCAAGGCGTTGCCCTGTAAAGGGCCCAGGTACCTTCCACCTGCCAGGTGTCCACCAGGTATGGGAGATGAACATCTGAAATTTGGGCACCTTCCAGGGCTTAGGGTTTAGGGTTTAGGGTTTAAGGTTTAGGGTCTAAACCTCTAAATTTCACTAAATCCCCCAATCCCCGAAACCCTAAAACCCCCAATCCCCTAAACCCCTACACCCCCAATTTCAACCCTAACCCTTCATCTGCCCTATACACTGACTTGTGAGCATCTCGGATGAAACTCGACACACCTTCTTGGAAAGCTGGTAGAGGCTCATGCGCTCCTCCAGCGTCCTCCGCTGCTTCTGTAACTCCCATTTCATTCAGGGTTTGTGGTTTACGGTGTAGGACAAAAATTAACTAAGCCCTAAAATCGCAGATCTCACAGGAGAAACCCAAAACACAAAACCCTAAACCCTAAACCCCATACCCCAAACCCTAAACCCTAAGCCCTAAACCTTAAGCCCTAAAAGGTTCCAAGGGCAACCCAGCGGCCAGGTCTTGGGATCATAGCGCCAGACGCGCCCGAAATTGGCCAGAGACCGGCGGAGACTGATTCCCCGAGCGATTTCCGTGTCCACCTCGCAAGTTGGGTTTAGGGTTTAGGGTTTGGGATTTAGGGTTTAGGGTTTAGGTTTAGGGTTTAAGGTACCTCTAGAATCCTCCGTGAGGAGTTGAGAGCACATGTTTCTGGGGGTGGGGGGTTTAGGGTTTAGGGGTGGGTGGGTTTGTCCTACTCTTCGGGTCGTCTCATAGACACCCAAAGTGCCCAATAACATCTACTAAGCACGAATGACCACACCAGACAGTGCGCATAGTCAGCGCCTATAGCTTAGTTTTTATTAAAGAGGCCTACGGTACAAGTATAAGGCTCTGCATTTGAGACTTCGCAGGACTGGCAAGGGCTTTTTGTTTGACGAAGAACGGGTTTCATGTTGACCGAGCTTTTAGCCGACACTTGGGGTATATGGTTTAGGGTTTAGGGATTTAGGGATTTAGGGATTTTGGGGATTTTGGGCGTGTTCCCTTCGACATACATGTCCACAAGGCCGGCAAAAGCGTTAGGGAGGACACTCCGCACCAAGAAAGAGGCCGCATGAACAAAAATTGACAACCTAAGCCGCCTGAGCCCCAAAAACGAAACCCCCTAATAAGCCCTAGACCGCAAACCGCAAAAAAAGGGCCCTAAACCCGAAACCCTAAACCCCAAACCCCAAGCCTTAAACCCTAAACCCCAAACCCTTTACCCCTAAACCCTAAAACCTAAATCCCAACCCAACATCTCCCGACCCTACTGTACAGGTCGGAATAATTACGAATAGTATTCCCTTATGATCGCTGAATAGTTATACTACAACAACCCCCCAAAACCCCATTGTAATTATACCGGCGCCTAAACCCTAACCCTAAACCCTAAACCCTAAACCCTAAACCCTAAACCCTAAACCCTAAACCCTAGACCCTATTCAAACCACTAAGGCCCCTATATTATTCCTCCGAGCCGACCTCGGAGTGTGTTCGGCACACGTGGCGGCCCAGCGCGCCTGGGTGTGTTCAAGTTTTTGGGGTTTAAAGTTTTACGGTTTGTGTTTAGGGTTTAGGGCCTCAGGTTTAGGGTTTGGGGTTTAGGATTTAGGTTTTCGGGTTCTTCGGGTTCTTCTTGTTCTTCAGGTTCTTCCCAAACCTTAAACCCTGAACCCCAAACGTCCCTACCTTGAGGAGTACATGCAACTCAGCTAATTACTTAGGGCCCAGCCTCCACAGAGCCCCGAGAAAGCAAGGACATTTCCGTAGTATAGGTTACAGTCGCTCTGGAAGATTCCCGGGCCCCTAAATCCCAAGTTCGTTTGGGGTTTAGGGTTTAGGGTTTAGGGCATAGGATTTAGGGTTTGGGGTTTGTGGGTTGGGGTGTAGGGTTTGGGGCGATTATGGTATAGGGTCCGTGGCCTCGAATGTATGTTGCGGAAGCCTGTACCGTTGCAAAGCTCCTAGCACAAACTCTAAGGATCCATATACCTAAGGGTTTAGGGTTTAGGGTCCATGTACCTAGATAGGGAAACATGGACCCTTAGGAAGAAAGTACAGGGTATGTAGGCCATTGCTGTGGACATTTGAGGTTTTAGGGTTTAGGGTTTAGTGCTTTTTGTGTGTACGCTGGATGCTTACATGAACACTGGATCCTTGTTCCTTTAGGACCCCTGTTCTGCCGCAACCTCATGAACTGAGCGTGCCCTCCCAACACTAAGGGACCATGATTGCCAGACAGCTCAACCCTAAACCCTAAACCCTAAACCCTAAACCCTAAACCCTAAACCCTAAACCCTAAACCCTGATGAGTCCTCCAAGTTGCTAAGTGAAGCAGTGGAACTCCTCTCACGAAGCTTGACCTTGACCTGACAAGGCAGTCGCAAGCTTACAAAATCTAGGGGCGCGGGCTACGGGTTAGGGTTTAGGGTTTAGGGTTTAGGGTTTAGGGTTTAGGGTTTAGGGTTTAGGGTTTAGGGTTTGAGGGCACCTTCTCCAGACAAGCTAGGCTGCCCAGTAACCAAGGCTTAAAAAGGGTGCCCCTTTTTTGCTTAAAGGGGTGTATAAGGGAACCTAAACCCCCCCAAAAAGGGAATAAGGGTACTACTGGGCATCCTAGACAGGGGCGCCGGGTGCGGGTTCGAGCTTAGCATTGGTTCGGGCTTAGGCTTCAGGATTCAGGGGCTTAGTAGGGCTTAGGGGTTTAGGGTTTAGGGTTTAGGGTTTGGAGTTTGGAGTTCAAGAGTAGTACCTTGACCTGGACCCCGACAAGACCCAAGAAACTTTGACTCAAACTCGGATAGTGGGTCTAATGTAGGAGCCTGAATGATTAGAATAGGGTTCTAGTGGGTTATTGTACTACAACTACAAAGGGACCATAAAGGAATACGATTAGAAAATATTCCGCCCTTACATTTTGTAAAGGCGAAGACTAGCAGGCAACTGCCAGTAACAGACAGAGGAGCCAGGCAAGAACGGCTGTTGACAAAACCCTAAACCCCAAACCCTAAACCCTAAACCCTAGACCCTAAACCCTAAACCCTCAAGACAAAATCAATACAAACTGTATCTGGTATCATTCGGAATTTCCAAGTTATTTGTCTAAACAGCTGACAAGCCGAGTTTAAGTCTCAGGCCAAAGTAAATTCACTTAAACCCCCACCCTTCCCCCCTCCCCCGCCCCCACTTGCCCCCCCCCCCCCTCCCTCCGTATACCCTCAACCCTACCCCTACACTGTACAGCTCTGCAAACAACAGCCCGAGCCAGCGGCTTCAAGCTCTGAAGGGTCCACGCCCGACTCTTGTGGCTGGAGCTGTCCTTGCTCCTGCTGAGGGTTTGGGGTTTAGGGTTTAGGGTTCAGGGTTCAGAGTTTAGGGTTTAGGGTTTGGGGTTTGGGGGGTTTGGGGGTTTGGGGTTTGGGGTTTGGGGTTTGGGGTTTGGGGTTTGGGGTTTGGGGTTTAGGGTTTAGGGTTTAGGGGAACTCTACAAGGTGCGGGCCTGTAGTTAGAGGAGTTGTAGCGGTGAGTTGTGAGTACGATAACTTAAACGGTTATAAGTCCCTTAGCTATAGCTTGCATAGTCCGTGTAGGGTTTGGAAAGGGTATAGGAACCTAAGCCCTAAAAAGGTGCAAATCCTAAACCCTAAACCCTACGGACACAAAACCCCAAACCCTAAACTAAAGACGCAACACCCAAACGATCCTAAAACTCATACGAAAGAGCCTGAACCCTGGCAGAACTTCTCAAGGCTAGTGGTGTTGTACCGCTCGCCACTGACAAGGATCGCTGGATTCACATTCAGACACAGCCTACGGCGATCTTTTCGGCCCTAAACCGCCCTAAACCCCCTCCCCCCCCTAAACCCTAAACCCTAAACGCTAAACGCTAAACCCTAAACCCTAAACCCTAAACCCTTAACCTAAACCCTGAACCCGAACCCCAAAACCCTAAACCCTAAACCCTAAACCCTAAACCCTAAACCCTAAACCCTAAACCTAAACCCTAAACCCTAAACCCTAAACCCTAAACCCTAAACCCTAAAATCCCTTACCCCCCCCCCCCCCCCCCCAGGCCCTACATGGCTTCTGTTCTAGTTGAAGCCCTGAACCCTGAAACCCAAAGCCCTAAACCCTAAACACTACACCCTAAACACTACATCCCTTAACCCCCCAAGGCCCTACATGGCTTCTGTTCTAGTTGAAGCCCTGAACCCTGAACCCTGAAACCCAAAGCCCTAAACCCTAAACCCTTATCAAACAGGGCCTCCTCGTTCTCCAGGCGTGGCTGGGGAGGTCCTCGCGCTTCGGTCAGTCCCGAAACCTCTAGCCCGAACCCTAAACCCTAAACCCTGAACCCTACGCCCTAAACCCTAGACCCTGAACCCTAAATTCTAAACCCTAACCCCTAAATCCTCTACTTGAGAACAAATGCCAGATGGAGAGGAGACGGTCCCAATGTAGGAGGCCATGGGCTTTGCAGCCGCCAACGCATCCTAAACCCTAAACCCTAAACCCTAAAGCCCGAAAGCCCTAATCCAAAAACCCTCAACCGCTAAATCCAGATGGGCAATGGCTTTTAGGACGCTTAGCTGGGACCCATGCGTTCGTGGACACCGAAGAAGAGTGGGCTTTAGGATTGCAGGGTTTGGGTTTTAAGGTTTAGGGTTTAGGGTTCCTAAACCCCAAACTTTGAGACCTCCTGAACCCTAAGCCCTAAACCCAAAACCCCAGGCATCATCAAAACCTTAGGGTTTAGGGTTCGTGTGGGTCCCAGGTGCAGGCAGTTCATGCGCAGAGCGGAGCTCATCTGGTTTAAATTCGGACCCCAAGCTTGTACCCTTGGGTTTTGGGACCCTGTTTAAAGATCCTCTGAGGGAATATAAGGGCCATATGACCCTAAACCCTGAACCCTAAACCCTAAATACTAAACCCTCAACCCTAAACCCTCAACCCTCAACCCTAAACCCTAACCAACTCTAGCGGTCACCTGCATCGCAGCTTTCGATTGCGATCTTCGAGACCGTGGCCTGCAATGGAAAATTGGGCTTGAAGGATACCCTACACTAACAGAGATTATATTTGGTGGTACTATAACTCCCATTCAGGACGGTTCAGGGTTTAGGGTCTAGAGTTTAAGGTGTTAGTACAAGGGGGAACATCCCAACCCTACACCATAAACCCTAAACCCCAGCACCCTGGCCTGCAAAATGCCTTTGTGGTCTGCATTCGTCAGCATAGGTTAGACATGACAAAAACCTTAAACCCTAAACCCTAAACCCCCTAAGACCCTAAGACCCTAAGACCCTAAGACCCTAAGACCCTAAGACCCTAAGACCCTAAAACCCTAAAACCCTAAAACCCTAAACCCTAAATGGGTGTTGCAGTTCCGAGCTTTGGGTAGTTTGGGGGTGGTGGGCGGCTTGGACCTACATCGGCTATACTTGAAGGTTTTAGGACTTGCGTTGTTTGGGTTCATGGTTTGGGGGTTTAGACTTTTTGCTGTGACGGAACTGTGGCGACCGTCACTTCCGAAACGAAAGATCTTCACCCTCCGCCTTTCCGCCCCTCCGCCCCTCCCCCCCCCCCCACACAGAAACCAAAAAAAAACACTTGGAGCAGATCTATGAAACCGTAAAAGCCCAAAAACACATGGGCAGTACTTTTCTTTGCTCTGCACTTCTGCCATGTTTACAGAGTACACAAAGTAGCCCCATGAGTCCATGTACCCCATGGTATATGCTTGACAGTCCCTATGGTAGGAAGTACTTGAACGCCCAAGTATTCCCTATTGAGGTACATGGACTCTTCTGGGGTGGTACTAAAGCCTTGAAATATAGCTCTAGCCGTAAAACCTAAACCCTAAACCCTAAGCACTAAACCCTAAACCCCAAACCCCAAACCCCAAACCCTAAACCCTAAACCCTAAACCCTATGCTGGTGGTGGGGGGGGGAGGGTGCTTGCAAGCCAATAGAGCTTTGTAAGTAGGGTGTGAGTAGGGTTAGTAAGTTGTAAGGGCTAAAAGGAGGGACCCATCGAAGGGACCCTTGATCTTACTCCCCTATAATAACCTCTGTATATACCTTATAAAGCCCCTATATACCTAAGTAGCTCCCAAAATCACCCTAAACAACCCCTAAGGTCCCTTAGAAGGGTCCCTCCTTTAGCCCCTTGAAAGTTGGCCCTAAACCCTAAACCCTACACCCTAAACCCTAAACCCTGATTTTCTTTGGGTTTCGCGCCTTGCAGCACGCCGCATCTGGAATCGACCGGGAGGCTCCCGCTCCCATCGGGAACCCTAAACCCTAAACCCTAAACCCTAAACCCTAAACCCTAAACCCTAAACCCTGAACCCTGAACCCTGAACCCTGAACCCTAAACCCTGAACCCTAAACCCTAAACCCTAAACCCTAAACCCTAAACCCTAAATGAGTTGAAGGCCTTCAGCCTTCGGAGCACTGAGGCAGTGCTTGGGCCGACATGCTACCCGATGTGGGTGTTCCAAGGGCTTCCAAACATCAGGGGACAAAATTTCTGGTCTGTCTGAACAGGTTTAGGGTTTAGGGTTCAGGGTTTAGGGTTTAGGGTCTAGGGTCTAGGGTTTAGGGTCTAGGGCGAGACAAGGCGAATTACACGTGGCAGTGCATGTTTCCGCGCCTGGGCGTGGGGAGCTTCACGGCTTTGACGTTCTCCAGACAAGCTAGGCTGCCCAGTAACCAAGGCTTAAAAAGGGTGCCCTTTTTTGCTTAAAGGGGTTTATAAGGGAACCTAAACCCACCAAAAAGGGAATAAGGGTACTACTGGGCATCCTAGCAAGCAAGACAAGTAAGCAGGCAAACCTTCTTCACTTCGTCCTCGTGGCCCTGCCAGTATGATTATGAGGAATAGGGGTGGTCGGACTTACAAAGCTTGCACGCTACGTTTCGAAACCCTGAACCCTGAACTGACGCGGCCATAAACCCCCCTAAACCCTAAACCCTAAACCCTAAACCCTAAACCCTAAACCCCAAAAAAGCGCTGAGCACCACATTGATGGGTGGCTCAAAAGAGCACTCGACATCTCATCTCGGCTTTTACTTGGGGTCATCCTCCGCGAGCAATTTAACGGTTTAGGGTTTAGGGTTTAGGGTTTAGGGTTTAGGGGAATCGGGAATCTTTTCGCCAAATGTTGACGCGCGGCAGCTCCCGCAGCGACTTCGACGACCTGTTCACTGGCCAAGCTGCCATGGGAACAGTAATCCCCCTCCCCCCAATATTAGCTAAACCCTAAATCCTTAACCCTAAACCCTAAACCCTAAGCCCTAAACCCTAAACCCTAAACCCTACCCAATATGTATTAAGACACCCCACCTAGTACTAAATACACCCCCGTATATTACAATATGACTATAACGGGAGTATTTAATGTTCTGGGGGTGGCTCATATCAGGGGGAGGGGATTAGCAACTAGCAATGGTTGCTGAATTCAGGACTCTGGTGAGCCAGCAGTACAAAGACTCTAAACCCTAAAACCCTAAAACCCTAAACCCTAAACCCAAAAACCCTAAACCCTAAACCCTAAACCCTTGGCACACATGCACCTGACAAAACTCGGCGGCATGAGCCAAGCAAGCATCAGAAAGCCGCAGTTGGAGAAGCTATGAAATGTACTAGGATGGCCCTTAACACCCTCCGACAATTATTCCTCACATGGTCCTCTTATACCCATTAAAGGAACACTATGAAATGTCCCAAGGGCCTACCTAGCGCATAGTATGCGCAGCACACCCGAAATCGGCGAGGCACTTGTGGGCATCCTCTTAAAGGATCGTTAAACGCCCAAATGAGTCTGAAAATGAAAATGCCGGGGGCGAAGCAGTCCAAAGGAAGACCGGCTAACCGCTGAGACAGCCGCAGGCCACTCCAGCACCCCGGCATGTCAGCACTGGCGCTACAAGGAAGGGGCGAGTGCCCGCGACCGTGACCGAACCAGTCTCCAACCCCTTGGGGACCGACTGACCTTTTTGCCCTTCAGGGAGTACCTGTGTTCTGCGGGAACTCCGTGTCACGAGCATCCTTGCTCGACCCATGACCTTAGTTGCTGAGTTCACAAGCCCAACCACAACAAAAATGTACACTTGTTCAGTTCTATAGGGGATTAGAGGATCCCCAAAAGTGTAAAGCGTACTCATTCAGCTACTAAGATGACACGTCTGTCCACAGCGAGATCTCCCCTCCAACCACCACATCAACACTGCGAACACCACGGAGATCGCAAGGAAGACGAACGCACCGGCGAGACTCGCCTGGTAAGCCTGCACACATGGGCGTGGCCAAGACGTAGTGCGCACCCTAAACCCTAAACCCTAAACCCTAAACCCTAAACCCTAAAACCTAAACCCTAAACCCTAAACCCCCAACTTGCACCCAACTGGCCCGACCGAGCCCAACGTATGCCTGCGCCGACCACTGCACGCCATAACTCATCAGTCCCACCTTGGCTCCGAAACTCAAAAACCCATAGGGTTGGGGTTTAGGGTTGGTTTAGGGTTTAGGGCTTAGGGCTTAGGGTTTAGGGTTTAGGGTGTAGGGTTCAGGGTTTAGGGTTGAGGGTTGAGGGTTGAGGGTTTAGGTGTAGGAAACTGGATTCAGGTATGCCACTTGGAGGATCCGGCGACTTAGTAAGATCTTAAGCAGGCTAAAAGGTAAGTACCCTAATTCAAACATAATCCTTATCCTACTCATAACCTTACGTAATGACCTACTAACTAAGTCACCCGATCCTCCAAGTACATTGGGCCCAAGACTAGTCACGACGTAGCCCTTGCCAGGTCGAGACTCGGTTTAGGGTTTAGGGTTTGTTCTTGGGATGTTCACCCTTATACTAACCTTAATAGGCATTAGAATGGGGGGGTACCATAATCCCTAGCAAGGACTGCTAGTATAAGGGGAACATCCCAAGTTTGTTCTCTAACTATGGGTCCCTGTTGTGGATCTTTTGTCAGGTGCCGGACAAAAAATGGCACTCGGAATCTGACTCAGAGAACCTGATATCCCCCTGAGGAAAAAGGACTCCTCTTCAATCAGTGATATATATATATATGTGTATATATATATACATACACACACACACATACATACATACATACATACATACATACATACATACATACATACATACATACATACATACATACATATCGTTAGCATACATACATATATGTGTGTACACTTACATATTTAAAATTTGTTTGACCCTGTATTTTGCTGCTTGTGTCGGAGGGTCAGGATTGAAGATATTCCAAACTACCTCAAGGCATTCTAACTGAATAGGCCCCTTTAGGTCTGCAACCTCAGTCGTGAGTTCCTATGTTGTACCTGGCTTTAATAATTATTCCAAACCCTAAGAATGCTTATAAGTGATAAATCCCAAACCCAGGCATAAAACAAACAAGTGAGAAATCTCTAAAGTTTCTGAAACATGCCAATGCCTTGATATTTGGCTTGATCGGGCATGAGAAACTCTGATACACATACTGAAAGCAAGGAACTACCTCCAAGCCCAATGCAACCCCTAAAGCCTAAACCCTAAACCCTAAACCCTAAAGCCTAAACCCTAAACCCTAACCCCTAGACCCTAAACCAAAGTACAGTAAACCAGAGCCGAAGCCGCAACCAAGACGATCACGAACAGAGTCTGTAGGTGATCCAAACAGCCGAAGCGCCTCTGACTGCGGGTTTAGGGTTTAGGGTTTAGGGTTTTTAGGGTTTAGGGTTTAGGGTTTAGGGTTTAGGGCGGCTCAATGTCAGGATTTGCTTTGGATGTACACCCTAAACTTTAAACCCTAAACTCGAAAGCCCTAAAGCCTAAACCCGCAACCCTAAACTAAAGCTTGGGGTAACCCTAAAGCCAAAACTCCTAAACACTGAGCTAAAGTTTGGGGGAACCTTAAACCCTAAACCCTAAACGAAAGTTTTACGGATTACTCCCTGAACTGAATGGTCGGGGGGGGGGAAAAGGGGGGGGGGGGGAGGGGGGGGGGGGGGGGGGGGGGGGGGGGGGGGGGGGGGGGGGGGGGGGGGAGGGGGGGAGGGGGGGGGGGGGAGGGGGGAGAGGGGGGGGGGAGGGGGGGGGAGGGGAGGGGGGGGGGGAGGGGGGGGGGGGAGGGGGGGGGGAGGGGGGGGGGGGAGGGGGAGGGGGAGGGGGGCGCGGGGGGAGGGGGGGGGGGGGGGAGGGGAGGGGGGGGGGAGGGGGGGGGGGGGTGGGGCTGGCTACTCGGGTTTAGGAGGATATTTATGTTTTTTTTTATGTATATATATATATATTTTTTTTTTGTATACTTAGAAGATTGTTGGGGCTTATATGTGATCCAAGGTATTCCTTGGTCTCCAGCATGGTACATCCTTCCTTCGGCCAGGCCAAAGCCCTAAGCCCTAAGCCCTAAACCCTAAACCCTAAACCCTAAACCCTAAACCCTAAACCCTAAACCCTAAACCCTAAACCTTAACCCCTAAACCCGGCCGCTTCTCGCAGCAGAAGGCGCCTTGGGGCCAAGACGTCGCAAAGGTAGGCCATCAGGAGGTAGCCTTATCTCTTCTTATAGGGTACTTAAGGGAGGGTTTAGGGTTGAGGGTTTAGGGTTTAGGGTTTAGGGTTTAGGCTCTGGGGTTTAGGGTTCTTAAGGAAGGGGGGTTCATGGGGGGCAGGTACCTAGGGAACCTTAGGGAAGCCTGGGTAGCCTTCGGGAGTAGTGGGGAGTCTTGGGGAACGTTGGGCTACAAAAGGAGGTAGACTAATGTCTCCAACAGGCTGGCCTTCAGCTTCTAGGTATAGACCCTAAGCCTTAAAACCAAACCTTGCCATGTGTCTTCGAATCTACGACTTCAATTCGAGCTCCACGTGCCAAGCCTGTCCCGGCTAATGAAAACCGAGCTCGCCCTGAACCCTAAATCTAAACCCTAAACCCGAAACCCTAAACCCTAAACCCTAAACCCTATCCCTAAGCCCTAAACTCCAAACCTCAAGAGAAGGGGGTTCAGGGAGGGTATGTGACCCAAGGTGCGCTAACAGTCCCCAGTACTCCCGAAGGCTTCCCAAGCTTCCCTAAGGTTCCCTAGGTAGGGTTTAGGGTTTAGGGTTTAGGGTTTAGGGTTTAGGGTTTAGGGTTTAGGGTTTAGGGTTTAGGGTTTAGGGTTTAGGGTTTAGGGTTTAGGGTTTAGGGTTTAGGGTTTAGGGTTTAGGGTTTAGGGTTTTGGGTGTAGGGTTTAGGGTTTAGGGTTTAGGGTTTAGGGTTTAGGGTTTAGGGTTTAGGGTTTAGGGTTTAGGGTTTTAGGGTTTTAGGGTTTAGGGTTTAGGGTTTAGGGTTTAGGGTTTAGGGTTTAGGGTTTAGGGTTTAAGGGTTAGGGGTTAGGGCTTAGGGCTTAGGGTTGAATGGGTTGATACCCCCTCCCTTAAGAACGAAGTCGAAAAAATGCCCAATGAAGCTTTTTTAATTTAAAGGAAGGCACACCTTAAAATTTAACGCCCGATTTTTGGGACGCACCCGTTCCAGGGTCCTACTGTCCGCTAGGTACATGGTCTGTTAACATGGGCCCTTAAGAGGGGAATCCTCAGAAACCCCTTGCACTCCCCTTACAAACCGTTACATACCTTATACGACCCAAGGGCCCATATCTGAACCCTTTCAAGAGGGTAAGGGGCCATGTTAAGGGACCTATGGTTTAGGGTTTCGGGTTTAGGGTGAGTCAAAGCAGGGGGGCAAGCCATGAGGTAGAAGATGTCGAAGGCGACGAAGATGCCCACGGCGAAGGAGAACAAGCACTCAAAGGGTGCGCCGCCTTTCCTCTGGAAAGAGGCTGATTGTCCCTAAACCCTAAACCCTAAACCCTAAACCCTAAACCCCAAACCCTAAACTCTAAACCCCAAACCCCAAAACCCTAGACGCTAAACCCCAAGCCATGATCAAGCTTCGAGCTTCTGGGGCTTTTCAGAGTAACCGATGACCAACTAGTGGGCTCCTCTAAGCCCAAGAACGCTAAATCCGACAAAGCCTAACCATGGCTTGGGGTTTAGGGTTTGGGGTTTGGGGTTTAGGGTTTAGGGTTTGGGGTTTAGGGTTTGGGGTTTAGGGTTTGGGGTTTAGGGTTTAGGGTTAAGGGTCTCGGGTCCACGTACCTCAGTATCATATACTTGGGCCCAACGCCCCTAATTATTTCGGAAGCATTTTACGGCCAGTATTTCTTATTTACGCACATGGAGCCTCAACCCTACACCCCAAACCCAAAAGGGTTCTACGGGCAAAGCCCTTCAGGCGAATTTTCGGGTGGAAGGCTAGGGCAGGTTTCAGGTTTTGAGGTTCGGGGGCTTGCCTCGAAAACCTAGGGTTTCGGGTTTAGGGTTTGGGGTTTGGGGTTTAGGGTTTAGGGTTTAGGATTTGGGTGTTTAGGGCTTTGGGGCCTCACGACGTTCGGAATGTGTTCTATCCCGGGCTGAAGGTTGGCACTTTTTGCCCCGTAGCCACAACCCAAAGTACCCCTTATATACCCTATAGTCTGAACCTTGTAAAGGAGGTAAGGAATTTAAGGAACCCTCTTGAGGGCCCATGCAACTTCCCTTAGACTGCGAATCCAAGCTGCCAGTTCGCCACAAAGAACTCGCTGCTCAAACTGAGGATAGGGGTGAGCCTGGTCTAAGGCTTAGGGTTTAGGGTTTAGGGCTTTGGGGAATAGGGTTTAGGGTTTAGTGTTTAGGGTTGTGGGGTAAAAATGAGCATAGCTTGTGGATTCTTCAGATTGTTCAAATGGCTTGGACGCCCACGTGGGCCTAAGCCGGGGCGCCTTGCGGAATCAGCCTACACGAACCTACGCAGAAAATGAGGGTTCAAGAATGTCTGCTGGGCGAAATCTCAATCCCTGTGGTTTAGGGTTAAAGGCTGAGTATGTTGAGGTTATAGGCACCTAAACCCTAAACCCTAAACCCTAAACCCTAAACCCTAAACCCTAAACCGCAGTACTACAAGATGGGAAGACCTTCCGACTCAAGGACTGTGGCAGGCCGTTTGTGCATTGGCATCTCAGGGTTTTTTGGAATGGGTTTCTAGAATAGGGTTTAGGGTTTAGGGTTTAGGGTTTAGGGTTTAGGGTTTAGGGTTTAGGGTTTAGGGTTTAGGGTCTAGGGTTTAGGGTTTAGGGTTTAGGGTTTAGGGTTTAGGGTTTAGGGTTTAGGGTTTAGGGTTTAGGGTTTAATTAGGGTTTAGGGTTTACGGTTTAGGGTTTAGGGCTTAGGGCTTAGGGTTTAGGGTTTAGGGTGACCCTAGAGTAAGCTAGGAATAAAAAGGGTGCCCTGTTTGGTTTAAACAGGCTTACAAGGGAACCTGTACCCTAAAACAAGGGAATCAGGGCCTACCCTGGGTCCGAGCAGCCCCAAACCCTAAGCCCTAAACACCCTCAACCCAAACAAAACTCTACCCTGGGCCCTACGCGGTTTCAATCGGCCGAAGGGACAACTCGAACTCCAGAACCAAGGGCTTTCGGGATAAGAGAATCACAGCGGGGCTCAGGGTTTAGGGTTTAGGGCTTGGGGCTTATAGGGTGATGCTGAACCAAATTCCTAAACCCTAAACCCTCAACTCTGAATCCTAAACCCTTCCCTGAAGTCTTCAGTCCCAGGCGCATGAGCATCAAGTAGCGCCTGGGGATGCGGGTGGCGAGCGCAGTCTTCTCCAGCTCCAGCCTTCGAAAGGTTATAGGGTTCTTAACGGAGGGGGGTTCAAGGGGGGTAGGTACCTAGGGAAGCTTAGGGAAGCTTAGGGAGCCTTAGGGAGTAGTAGGGAGTCTTATGCAACCTTAATTCCCTTCAGAACCCTCACTGAACCATCCGGACCAAGAGGGACTTTTTTTGGCGCTGGCTTGGCAATCAGGTCCCTAAACCCTAGCCCCACGAGGTTGCCCAGTAACCTAGGATGAAAAAGGGTGCCCTTTTTTGCTTAAAGGGGTTTATAGGGGAACCTAGAGCCCCCAAAAAGGGAATGAGGGCACTACTGGGCATCCTAGCCTAAACCCTAAACCCTAAACCCTAAACCCTAAACCCTAAACCCTAAACCCTAAGTTTGGAGAATCCGGGAAGCTAGGCCCAAAAGCAGGGCCCCAACGAAACTCTTTGAAAGACTTCAGAGGCTTAGGGTTTAGGGTTGAGGGTTTAGGGATTTAGGGTTTAGGGACCGTCCCAGATTTGTTTGGGGGCGGGAGGGGGGGAGGGAGGGGGGGCTACTAAAGCAAGTGCAACATCATGGACGAAAAAAGGCAAGAAAAGCCCTGGGGACCATATATGTCAAGCCCCCTAGTATGTCAATATCAAGAACCTTGCATGCCCAAATGTGCGAAGCCTAAGCAGGGTTTTGCCCTCTTGGCATTGTAAGGTTAGCAAAGGGTGCAGGCAGGCTCTTGGGCCATTGTCTACAGGATAGAAATGACGACCTCATGAAGCCTTTCTGTATATGCTTTCCAGGGCTTAGGGTGGACATTTCTCAAGATCTTGCGCCTCAGGTCGTTCCGCACGAACTGGGTGAAGGCCCCCTTGCTGCCGTACCACTTCTCGATGGCTGAATGGATGAACGTACCTTTGCAGTAGCGAATCGATAGATGTCAAATTTGTTTGCTGTTCTCTTCGCTAAGTTGTTTTGGGGGTTGATGGTTTTAGTCGGGTTTAGTGCTTGCGGGGGGCGATCAAAGCTCTCGGCGCAGTCGACCTGATCCAAGTCGAAGGAGGCTAACTGGGAGATCAGTTGGTGCTTCTCGCGGAAGTTCATTCGGAGCAAGTAGATACCAAGCGAGTACGGAACCACCCACATGGCAAAGGAGAAGCCAAGCAGTATGGCACCAGGGCCGATGACGTCCCTTGCAATCAGAAAGAGCATAGCGAACACATACGTTGAAACCATCATGACCGACACGACTCTTTCGACGAAGAGCGGTCTGAGCGTGATCTTTCCCTCCGGGTTCACTTTCTTGTATGCTGCAAGCTCGAAGACGCACCAGAGCCTTGTTGTTGTGCAATATCTAACTCTGATCAAGACTTTGAGCTAGCTGCTATTAACTGTGTGACCGAACATAGCCTGAATTCCACTTGGAACACCAACATGCGTGTCTGGATGGCTTATCGGATTTGGAGTTTACGATATTAGGGGTACCTTCTTGCGGTCCTTATTATTCTCATTATTAATTTTTATCATTATTATTATTAACAAGAGGATTCTAGTATTTGGGGGTCTATATTAGGGCCCCATATTCTCGCAACCCCCCCCCCCCCCCCATGTATCGCACGAACTCACCAGCCTCGACAGGTACGGCGAGCTCCACAGAATGCGAAGCTCAGAGGAGATACTCAAGAACCCGGCGATTCCATACACCCCACGCTCCATCAACATGTGGTCCACCTGCATCGCCCTGTCCCCCCCGCTAAATCCTAAACCCGAAACTCTAAACCCTCACATATCAGGGGGGTAGGGTGGGCCCTTCCCCTTCATAATTAGAGGGTTTAGGGTTTGGCACCGCCTATGTCCCTCACACAACTTTTCCATCGACTTGACTTTTGGGCTCACCCCTACGGGTCCATGTACCTGGGTATTACATACTTGGGCCCCAAAATCAGGTAAAAAAAACCCAGGTAATCCCGATTTAGGCACCCTAAACCCTAAACCCTAAACCCTAAACCCTAAACCCTAAACCCTAAACCCTAAACCCTAAACCCTAAACCCTGAACCCCTGAACCCTTGACGCAAAGCCGGTCAGCAGAGCCCTGACAGCCCACTTGCTTATGGGTAGTTTTTCAAAAAAAGGGTCCCTTTTGGGGTCCTGTTTATAAGGCGCCCTGCTATATGGGGAGCCCCAAAAAGGAACCTAACTTAGAGAACTACTCTTATAAGGCTACAGGGTTTAGGGCTATAGGATTTTTTCGGCGTCTTTATACGGTTTTAACGGAACTTATGGGGTTTCAAGAGGGCTTTACACGATTTAGGGTTTAGGGCTTAGGGACCCTGATTCTCCTGAACCCTAAGCCCTCAACCCTAAACCCTAAACCCTGATTCCCAACCCCTCCTTTTGAAGCAGCCCCGACCTGGTGTATGCTGGTGACGTCCACGAAGCTGATGTCAGAGCGCTGGCACCTCCACGCGAGACCGGAGGAGCCAAACCCTAAACCCTAAACCCTAAACCCTAAACCCTAAACCCTAAACCCTAAACCCTAAACCCTAAACCCTAAACCCTAAACCCTAAACCTTCAAGTTTGGGAGAACCCTGAACTTCCTAAACCCCTTTCGGCCCTAAGCGTCCATGTACCTCATCCAGGGAGTACCTGGGGCTGCACCTCCTATATAGGGACTCCGGGTACCCTAAACCCTAAACCCTAATAAGCCCTCAATGCAGCAATAGACCTTCATCTTACAGATAGATCCTGAATATGATTTAAGGTATGTTGCTTCATTCAAGCGGTAGTTGGGCTCTTTGGGTTGCCTTAGACCCTAAACCCTAAACCCTAAACCCTAAACCCTAAACCCCAAACCCCAAACCCTAAACCCCCAAGGGCAACCACCCCTACTGGATGAGGGTGGTGGTGACTGCGATCGGCACGATCTGACCCGAAACCCCCTAAACCCCCTTAAATCCTTAAATCGCAAAAACCCTAAACCCCCTAAACCGCTAACCCATATTAAACTCAAAACCCCCTAAACCCCTAACTCCCTAACCCCCCAGAACCCCAAATCCCCTAAAACCCCTAGACCCTGACCCGTGTGTAAGCCCTAAACACTCTTAACCCCATACTTGGAGTTTCACGGTACTTCTTAACCCAGTATAACTGGACTTATAACCCACTTATGAGTCCCTTAAGTGCCCTAATATGGTTGTAAGTACAGCTATAAGTACAGTTGTCATTGGTTAGTAAGTACCATGAACCTCCAAGTAACCTCCTAAAACCCTAAAACCCTAAACCCTAAACCCTACACCCTCAACCCTAAACCCTAAACCCTAAACCCTAAACCCTAAACCCTCCTAAAGTCCATAAACCCTACACCCCTCAACTCCAGCGAGCCGCCTGTCCCCGACCCCGAACCCTAGTCCCTAAACCCTGGCCCTAAACCCTAAACCCTAAACCCTAAACCCTAAACCCTAAACCCTAAACCCTAAACCCTAAACCCTAAACCCTAAACCCTAAACCCTAAAAACCCTAAACCCTAAACCCTAAACCCTAAACCCTAAACCCTAAACCCTAAACCCTAAACCCTAAACCCTAAACCCTAAACCCTAAACCAACTCCACGAAGCCTGTCGGGCAGTAGGGGGACCGATGACAGGCTCAGCACGGTGCTCAGGAAGCCGGCAGCCAACACCCAAAAGCCTCGGTGGAGAGGAGGATGAGGATTTAGGGTTTAGGGTTTAGGGTTTAGGGTTTAGGGTTTAGGGTTTAGGGCTTAGGTTTTAGGGTTTAGGGTTTAGGGTTTTGGGGCCTGAGCCCTAAATCCTAAACCTTTGGTGGTTTGGGGCTGAGGGTTTCCAGCGGGTTTCGGGCTTTTCCGGCAGAAGCTCACTTCAGGCAAGGAGCCTCAGCCCCTGCCCAAAGCGTGTAGACGAAAGAGGCGAAAAGGGCCGGTTTAGGGTTTAGGGTTTAGGGTTTAGGGTTTAGGGTTTAGGATTTAGGATTTAGGGTTTAGGGTTTAGGGTTTAAAGTTTAGGGTTTAGGGTGCATACCTGCGACCCCCAAACCCACCAAGCTACCAGCCCTAAACCCTATTCCCTTTGGACCAAGTCGAGAAGCCCATGGGACAAAGCTCGGTGAAGTCCATAATCCGCGCCTCAAGAATGAGGTTTAGGCTTGGTAGGGTTTAGGGTTTAGGGTTTAGGGCTTAGGGTTCAGGATGTTGGGTTTAGGGTAAGTAGGCTTCCTGCTTTGGTTTAGGAGTTGGAGTTCACGGCTCTTTGGGACTCGAGGCGTAGTGGTATTGAGGCTCGAAGCACTGAAGCAGGATGTAAAGTGCAAATGCTACGCCTATGCACACGTTTCGCTAGCGCAATTGGTTGAACCTCCTAACGCTGCGACTGTCCCTTGGGTGGCCTTGTACTTGAAAGGCATCGGGAGAAAATCTGCCAGGTAAAGGCACCAGCAAAGAATTACGGTGCCACACCAGCAGAGCAGGACGTGGTGCCAGCCGCATTGAAAGGACAGCGAAAGCACCTGGGAACTGGAGGGGTGGGAGGGGGGGAGGGGACCTCCCAGACTCTTCCTATGCCCCCAAAACTGCCTCTGCCAAAGAAGACAAAGGGTTTAGGGTTTTAGGGTTTGAAGGGTGATGTGTTTAGGTTTTGGGGCCGGGGTTCAGGGCTTGGGGTTTAGGATGAAAGTATACAAGGGCCACAAAAGCAAGAATGATGAAAAGAAGGAGCATGACGATGATCATGGCAATGGTACTGAGTATGGTAGTCCTCGCGGCAATCGTAACGATAGGGATGACACCAACTGAACTCAAAACCAAACCCTACACCGTACACGTGCGGTTCCCCAAACCAAGGAAGTCCCCTTGAAGTCTTAGGGTACTTGCATGATTTTTGAATTTGGGCCCTTGATTGAGGAACCCTTGTATACCCCGTATATATCCCATTGCACCCAAAAAGCCATACTTCAGAACCCTTAAGAGAAGACAAGGGACCATACTGAGGCACCATGCAACTACCCCTAAGCCCTAAGCCCTAAACCCTAAACCCTAAGCCCTAATCCCTGCAAGCCTGACTCGCCTTCGAGTAAAGGGCCCGGGCGCCTTCCATCTACCAGGCGTCCACCAAGTGTGGGAGATGAACATCTGAAACTTTGGCACCTTCTCGGGTTAAGGGACCCCAAAATCCTAAACCCCAAAGCCCCTAAACCCTAGGGTTTAGGGTTTAGGGTTTAGGGTTAGGGTTTAGGGTTTAGGGTGCCAACTGCGCCCCCTTGGGGCTTTAAAGTCTGCGACCCCTGACACCCACGCGTGCTGAGAATCCAAAGCCTTGAGCCTTGTTTGGGGGTTGGTGTTCACGAGGGTTTAGGGTTTAGGGTTTACGGGTTTTGAGTACGGGTCATGTGATTTAGAGAATGGTCCTTATAAGGGCTTTTTGCAGGTTTAGGGTTTTCTGGGGTTGATTGTACTTATCTATTTCTTTTCGGTATGGCAGCTCGCAAGGCCAAAGTATTCATCACGAAGGCCGAGCTTCTTCCTTCATGCTTTCGAAAGCAATTCCCAAGTGTGGTTCCCTTAAACCCAAAACGGTTTGCGGTTTGCGGTTTAGGGTTTAGGCTTGAGAATTACAAATACGGGAAACTGAAAAGTATCCCAAAGGCCCACCAAGTGATCTGCAATAGGCGGGCAGCCACAGAAGCCCTAAACCCAAACCCCAAACCCCAAACCCCAAACCCCAAACCCCAAACCCCAACCCCCAAACCCCAAACCCCAAACCCTGCCCGGAGCCTTCAACAGCCTCTAAGTTAAACAGCATGACATAGGTTGGACTAGGGACCTTCTGATGATTTCGGGTCAACTTTAGGGCAAATTCCTTAAAGGTAGGGCTTAGGATTTAATATGAACCTTTAGTTAAGGGTTTCGGGCTTAGGGTTTTCTGTTTCAGTGTGCAGGGGCCGTACTGTAGGTAGCCCTAAGCCCTAAGCCCTAAACCCTAAACCCTAAACCCTAAGCCCTAAGCCCTAAACCCTAAGCCCTAAACCCTAAACCCTAAGCCCTAAACCCTAAACCCTAAACCCCAAAAGGGCGGTAGGGCTGTGAGCTCCCAGAGCACCTTCGCGGAGAGCTGGTAAAGGCTCATGCGGTCCTCCAGCGACCTCGGGTAACTCGCGCAACCAGCCGTAGGGTTTAGGGTTTAGGGTTTAGGGTTTAGGGTTTAGGGTTTAGGGTTTAGGGTTTAGGGTTTAGGGTTTAGATTTTAGGGTTTAGGGATAGTTGGGGTGTAGGGTTTAGGATATCTAGGGCTTAAGGCTATTCCGGTTGCGGGCAAGAAAATGAGCAGCTTCTCTGCCGCAGAACTACTTACCACACCATCCCATATGTAAAGAAGATACGCTCCAAATCCAAGAATGATATGTGCCACCTAGTTTGGTGCCCGAAGCCTCTAAGCAAAACATTTGGGCTATTTGGACACCCCGTTTGGGAAAACCTAAGAAGCCCTAAACCTCCTCCAATCTCCCATGAACACTAAACCGTAAACCCTATAAACCCCAAATCTACTCCCCTTAGAACCTTAAGAACAAATATTTGCTTGTTCCTTTGGGTTGTAAGTAGCAATAATTCCTAGAAGGGCTAAAGCTTGGGATGTTCCCCCTTATGCTAACCATTACTAATAGGGATGATCATAGGGAGTTACGATAATCCCCGTTAAGGACTGATTGGTATGAGGGGGAGTATCCCAAGCTATACCCTGTAACTCTAATCCCCAACTATACTCCCTTAGAACCTTAAGAATTTTGTTGTTTTTACTATTCCCTTGGGTTGGATAAACAAAGCAATTCCCAAGGCAGCTATAGCCAAAACTTACGGGGTCCTTATAATTCTACCCATAACTAGGGGAACCCCTCCTCGTGGGGCTTAAGGGTGTACGGAGGGTTCAGGGTTTAGGGTTTAGGGTTATAGGGTTTAATTCAGCCCAGAGACCAGGTTTTCGGGCTGTAGCGCCAAACCCGGCCCAGGTTGGCGAGGGATTTGCGGAGTGAGATGCCACGCACGATTTCCACATCAACCTGCCCGGATTGGCAGGGACCTGAACCCTCGTAGCCCTAAACCCTAAACCCTAAACCCGGCTAAACCCTAAACCCGGCTAAACCCTAAACCCTAAACCCTAAAACATCCTAAAACTAAACCCTAAACCCCAAACCCCAAAACTTCATGTTTGGGTGCCGAGGAGTGGTGGGTGCTCTGCAGTCTGTGGCTGCCACCTACGAATCGACGATTGGGGTTTGCGCCGGCATAAACCCTAAACCCTAGTGGCCCTAAACCCTAAAACCTAAACCCTAAACCCGAAACAGCACACCCAAGAACCTCAACCCCGAAACACGAAGCCTGACTCCTTGAAGCGAAGAAGGCGCCAAGAACCTGAAACTTACTCTAAACCCAAGATCCAAATATCTGGGACTGCAGATGTGTATACAACATACCAACTTGGGGTCTCAAAACCCTAAGCCCCAAACCCAAAACCCTAAACCCTAATCATAGCTACCTCGGGCTTCTTGGGGCGCCTGGCTTCGAACTTCTCTCATTGCATAGCAACCGGGGTTGGTTTTGGGGTTTAGGATTTCGGGTTTAGGATTCAGGGTTTAGGATTTAGGGTTTAGGATTTTGGGTTCAGATTTCGGGTTTAGGGCTTAGGGTTCAAGGTTTGAGAGTTTACGGTTTAGGATGTAGGGTTCAGGAGTGAGGGCTTAGGCGTGTTTGGGCTTAGGATTGAGGATTTGGGGTTCAGGATCTACGAACGCTGGTCTATGCCGGCCTCAGAGTACCTGCGTTGCGTAAGGCGATCGCTTGACCCCAGAGTACCTGCGGCGCGCGAGGCTTACACTCCTGCCCTTGGTTACTCAAGGGACCAAAGGAGGGACCCTTATAAGGGACCTTAGAGTTTACTAGGGGGTTATTTGGGGGCTGCTTAGGCATATAGGGACTATTTAAGGTATATATGGGGAATAAGAGTTTACTAAGGGGTTACTTGGTGGCTGCTTAGGCATATAGGGACTTTTTGAAGGTATATGGGGGATAAGGGCAGTAAGATTAAGGGGTCCCTTCTAGGGGCCCCTCCTTTTACCCCTCAAGTTACGGTGTAGGTCTAGGCTTCGCCGAAGTAAGGCTGAGTACGCAGAACTAACCCTAGGGTTTAGGGTTTCGGGTTTAGGGTCTGTTTCAGTATTCTATACTTGGGACCTTTTTGCCTGCGGTTCTTTCCTTTGCATCAGCCCTATGTCACGCATGCCCGTGGCCCTAAACCCTAAACCCTAAACTCTAAACCCTAAACCCTAAACCCTAAACCCTAAACACGACCCTGGGGTCGGCTTGGTATGATGCTCATGATGAAGGATCCTCTGCGCAACAACGGAGGCAGACTCTACTCGAATTTCGAGCCCAACCCTACACCCCAAACCTCAACCAGCCTAAACCCTAAACCCTAAACCCTAAACCCTCAACCCTCAACCCTAAACCCCTCACGCCCAAAAGCGTTTTGCTCTTTGGATCTCAAAGGGACTGATGGCTGCGGGGACGGACTGGCTCTCGGCATGTGTGGCCTCAGAGGGCATCGGTTGTTTAGGGTTTAGGGTTTAGGGTTTAGGGTTTAGGGTTTAGGGTTTAGGATGACAGGTTCCAAGATGTAGGGTTTGGGATCAATAGGGCGGAAACCACGTAAACCCTCAGGCGCCATCCCAAAAAAAGCCCTCTATGCCTCTTAAAGAATCGAGCCGTCCGGGGTAGCGACTCAACCCAAATCCCAAACCCTAAACCCTGTAAACCATAGAAAACAACAACGCAGACTGCAGGGAGAATCCCTAGAAGCATCTCCTGAAAGTCACCCGGGCCCCATTCGGAAAGAAAAACCATTTTAAACCCCTATGAACCTTGTAAAACGCCTATAAATACCCTAAGCCCTGTAACATGCCTATAAATACACTTAACCCCTTATCCCAATCACTATAAAGCAGACAATATGAACCCTAAACGCCCTAAACTTAAACCCTAACAACCCTAGTACCTCCTCAACGCTAGGAAGACGAAACACCCTCTGAACCTTAAATCCCATAAACCCTAAACACCTTCTAAACTCTGTCAACCATAAACACGCGATAAACGACCTTCGCCCCACGAACCATGAAAATCACATAAACCCTGAACATATAAACCGTGAAGACCCTATAACATATAACCCTAAAAGCCCTAGACGCCCTGTACCCTAGACGCAACCCCGAAAAAAAGCCCTTTAAACCCTAGGTACATTAAGCCCTAAACCCTAAACCCGAAACCCTAAACCCGAAACCCCAAACGTTCCGAAGCCCGAAGCCAACAAGAAGCCTGTGTAAGAAGATGGGAGTCCCTAGCCTCTGTCTCTGCAGGCCCCAGGGCAGCCATCTGCCCCTGTTAAGGGTTTAGGGTTTAGGGTTTAGGGCTTGGGGTTTAGGGTTTAGGGTTTGGGGTTAGGGATTGGGGTTTAGGGTTTAGGGTTTACTGTGGGCGTAACGGGGGCTTAAAGGCTCAAGCTCCGAGACTTGCATATCCTCTAACCAAAAACCCCCTAACGTTGCTCCTGTTGCTTTTCTGACATGTAAGATCTCCTACACGCAGCTGAACAGTGTAGGGTCTAGGGTCTAGGGTCTAGGGTTTAGGGTTTAGGGTTTAGGGTTTAGGGTTTAGGGTTTAGGATTTAGGGTTTAGGGTTTAGGGTTTAGGGTTAGAAAAGCAATTTGGGTTTAGGGTTTAGGGAAAGAAAGCAATGCGCAAAGGCCAAGAGGGCACTGCCCGCCTTGTCCGCAGAGGCCGGGCCCGGGGCAGTCTTCTCACCACCTGCAGTGGCTGCGTTTAGGGTTTAGGGTTTAGGGTTTAGGGTTTAGGGTTTAGGGTTTAGGGTTTAGGGTTTAGGGTTTAGGCTTCCTCCCCCCTGAAAGTCATTCCGTTTTCCTGAATGTACTATTTGCCTAAGAACCCCCGAAACACAAAAACATTCTTCCTTATAAGGGTGATATAGGGATCATGTTTCTGTTCTTTTCGGAGTTCTCAAGCAAACAGCAGCATTCTTCCCTATAAGGGTAATATAGGGATTATTATCTTGTCTTTTTTGGGAGTTCCGAAGCAACTCGTGGTGCAACCCCAAAACATCCCAGCCGCGATGTAGGATTCCTCGTCCCCGCACGCAGCCTCAACCGAAGTGACGCCGAGCCTCCATGACCTAAAGCCCCGAAGCCGATAGACTTCTTTCGGGTTTAGGGTTTAGGGTATAGGGTTTAGGGTTCAGAGGGGCAAGAACCCTCTCAGCCTTGGATGATATAGATGATACCCCAAACACTAAATTTCATTGGGATTTCAAACCCTTTCCACATGCAATGGTGTTACACTGCGACGGCTAATTGGTAGCAACGAATCTTGCTTGTACGCACCTTCTTCAGAGCCCTAAACCCTAAACCCGAAACCCTAAACCCTAAACCTCGTAGCAAAAAATGCAACCGGTGGCCGGCCCTTCCTTTCCAGGGGATCTTGATCAGGAGTGGACCGAGTACAGAACTGTGCACAAGCTAAGGGCGCTAAGGTGTGCATCATCCTCGGTTTAGGGTTTGGGATTTAGGGTTTAGGGTTAAGGGCTAAGGGTTTAGGGTTTATAAGGGTTTAGGGTTTAGGGTTTAGTATTCGTTCCACAAGTGGTAATGCTTCTGGCTTGGTCCACGATGACAGCTCGCACAAACGCGAATCCGAATGGTCCCCCGAAGCCCGAACCCCGATCAATCCTTAAAGCCTGTGCAACCCAACCTGTGCACATCCCCAAACTCTCTCTCTTGCATCGTTGCCTTCGATGGCCTCCACAATTTGAGAGGGCACCCCCTGACAGGCTGAAACTTCCAATCTTCTGGGCCTCTAGGCTTTAGGGTTTAGGGCGGTGTCAAAGGCTCAGGGTTTGGGGCTTCGGCTTTCGTGTTTGATGCTAGTCTGGGACTGATCTTCCGTACTGTAAACCGTGCTTGGGGTGTTGGGCTTGGGCCTGAATGAACCCTGAACAAGCACAACATAGCCAACCAATCAAATGTCCACTCCAAAGCGTTAACATAAATCAACGGTAACCAAGAGTCCCCCCCCAGCATATGCCACCAAAAAACGCAAAATTGTCCCCCCAAAAACGGACCCTAACCAACCCTCCTGGTAACCTAAACCCTAAACCCCAAATTCTTTAGAGGCTCTTGAGGTGGGAGGCGGCAGGGTCGAAGAGTACTGGATCTTGGGAAATACGGTTTGGGGTCTCGGTAGGCCAGCAACTGTACCCTGATAGGGGCACCCTTTTGGGGGTCGGTTAGTTGGGGTTTCGGATTTAGGGCTTAAGACATATGAAGCCCAGAACCCAAGAAAGGGCAAGCAACGCAGCGGTGGCCTTCATAGGGGTATATTTTTTGGGTTATCCTAAGCCCGAAACCCGAAACTCTAAACCCTAAACCCCTAAATTCCTAAATTCCTAAACCCTAAACCCTAAACCCTTGACCCCAAACCAGAATCCCTGATCTCTAAACACTAAGAGTGTCCAAGAGCAGCGAGGCACCCTGGATTGGCAGCACGCAGCATCCGGCACGGCAAGGGAAGGTCCCGTTCCCATGGCCGAGATTGACTAGGGTTTAGGGTTTAGGGTTTAGGGGTTAGGGCTACTAGACCCAAGAGAAACCTAGGAATGAAAAGCGCGCCCTTTTTGGTTTTAAGGGGATTACAAGGGAACCCCAACCCTAAAAAGGGAAATCAGGGCCTACTCCGGGCTCCTAGTAGCCCGAAACCCTAAACCCTAAACCCTAAACCCTAAACCCTACATCCAGTCAAAGATGAAGGGTGGTGGAGCAACCGGGTTCCAGAGGCGCTGCGCGCTAACTCAGCGCTCGGGCCGGCACGACTACCCTGCAGCCCCTGTTTTCGAGCAACTCTGAGTTAGGGTTTAGGGTTTAGGGTTTAGGGTTTAGGGTTTAGGGTTTAGGGTTCAGGGTTTAGGGTCCGCTGACCTGGCGGCGTGTTGGATGGGAAAAGGAGGTGAAAACCTCCCTCTTTCCCTCCTTACCCCCAAAAGCGGGAGGGGGGGGGGGGGGGGGGGGGTAGGGGGGGGTCCCCGGGCAGCTTTTCCATGGAGGGCCAGGCCACCCACACGGCATAAACTCACCAACCATAGGCGGTTTCGCACAGGACATAGGGGCCCTTTCCCCTCCCCTTTTTGGGAAAAACCACCCCAACCCGCCCCCCTTACCCCCCCCCCCTCCCCCCCCTACCCCCCCCCCCACCCCACTTTGCCTGACCTTTCAACTATGCTCCAGCCCCCCTACCCCCCCCCCCCCCCCCCCTACCCACCCCTACCCCCCCCCCCCCCCCACCACTTTGGAATCCTTTGACCTAACGAACGCGTTTAAACCTTTCAACTATGCTCCGCGTCGGCGGCTTGAGCGGGTTTGGGTTTAGCGTTCTTTACCCCCCCCCCCCCCCCTACCCCCCCTACCCCCCCCACCCCCACCCCACTTACCTAACCTTTCACATGCTCCAGCCCCCCTACCCCCCCCCACCCCCCCCCCCCCCCTACCCCCCTACCCCCCCCCCCCCCCCCCCACCAACTTTGGAATCCTTTGACCTAACGAACGCGTTTAAACCTTTCAACTATGCTCCAGCGGGGTCGGCGGCTTGAGCGGGAGGCTCTTAAATTTAGGGTTTAGGGTTTAGGGTTTAGGGTTTAGCGTTTAGGGTTTAGGGTTTAGGGTTTAAGTTGATGAGATTGTTCCCATCATAGGAGGTACCCCTTCATCTCACCCCCCCGAACTACCATACTCCCTAAACCCTACTAAACCAGGAAGCCCTCCAAAAAGGGGACCCCTATTCGGTTGTCCCAGTAGACCAGAGGATAACGAGGGTTGTAAAGGGGGGGCTGAGGAACCTCAACTACCCTAAACCCTAAACCCTAAACCCTAAACCCTAAACCCTAAAACCCAAACCCCAAACCCTAAACCCTAAACCCCAAACCCTAAACCCTAAACCCTAAACCCCAAACCCCAAACCCTAAACCCTCAACCCGCGACCCTGAGAGGGAACAGGGGTACTTCCCTGAGCAGCTGCACGAGGTGTCGTGATCCTGCAATACCCTATAACACCGGATCCTAAACCCCTAAACCCTCAACCCGGTTTAGGGTTTAGGGTTGAGGGTTTAGGGTTTAGGGTTTAGGGTTTAAGGTTCGGGTTATGGATTTACAGTGTACACTCCAGACATTTGGACTATAGTTTAAGGGTGATTAGAGCTGGGATTCCCTTTAGTATACCTTTTGGGGTATGGGGATAAGGATGTTCCGACTTTTTGGCGTTTATTGTATAGCCCCAAATCCTCACAGGTACCCTAAACCCTAAACCCTAAACCCTAAACCCTAAACCCTAAACCCTAAACCCTAAACCCTAAACCCTAAACCCTAAACCTTAAACACTTCTATAGCCCAGCTGCTCAGACTTAAATCCCGACCCTCGGTCGTGAATAATTCTACTTCTAACTGCAGCCGCGTGAGATTCAGGAGCCGGGTTGTATGTTTAGGGTTTAGGGTTTAGGGTTTAGGGTTTAGGGTTTAGGGTTTAGGGTTTAGGGTTTAGGGTTTAGGGTTTAGGGTTTAGGGTTGAGGGTTTAGGGTTTAGGGTTTAGGGTTTAGGGTTCAGGGTTTAGGGTTAGTCTAGCTACCTGACTACAACCCCAAACCATGCAAAGTTCAGAACACCCTCAACCTGAACGAAACCTAGGCCCTTGCAACCCCAGTTTAGGGTCTCAAGGGTCTTTGGGTGTAGTTTTATAGGGTTTAGGGTTCAGGGTTTAGGGTATAGGGTTTATTATAGGGTATAGGGTTTAGGGTTTAGGGGTTAAGGCTTAGGATTCAGGGTTCCTCATCAACACACCCCTGCAGCGAACAGAGACTCTTTTTGTCAAGCTCAGATGACGCGCCTAAGAAGGCGCAACTTGGTAGACCAGTAGCCATCTCATAATGAGGGTACCCATTTTTTGGTTGGCGAGTTTGACAAGGAAACCCCGAACCCTAAAATGGGTACCACTGGAGCCCTAAGCCCTAAGCCCTAAGCCCTAAGCCCTAAGCTCAAAGCCCTAAGCCCTAAACCCTAAACCCTACACCCTAAACCCTAAACCCTATGCGGGTGTCACTGGGCTACCAAGGCAACAGAGCTTTCCATTCTGTCTTGCCAGAGCGGCGTGGGCATGCAGTCGATGCTGCCCGGAAAAGCTACACGCTGCACGCAGCGGGGGATGGCAAGTTTAAGGAAAAGCCCGCGTCAGATCAGACCGCCCGGCTGCCAACGCAAGCTTCCGAAATACTAAACCCTAAATAAACCCTAAACCATAAAGCCTATAAACCCTAAACCCTAAAACCCGAACCCGGAACCCTCAACCCTCAGCCCTCAGCCCTCAGCCCTCAACCCCCAACCCTAAACCCTAAACCCTAAACCCTAAACGAATTTTCCACAGGTTCCTTGCCTGCGGAGCAAAGCAGCAACCATTGAAAGGTAAGACCAGCCGCCTGCTCCGCAGACTTTCGCAGGTCGCTCCAGCAAGGAGTGCCAACCCGCAGGGGTTTAGGGTTTAGGGTTTAGGGTTTAGGGTTTAGGGCTTAGGGTTGAGGGTTTAGGGTTTCTCAGAACATCCTACGGTACAAGGACGTACAAGGACGGAGAGAGTCCTCAGAACGATCAAGCGGGGACTCCGTCATGGATCAGACGAGGGCAACTCCTTCATCTCCGGAGATTCGTGGGCCTCTTTGATCGACTGGGAACACTTCCTCGGATGGTTCTCAAAACCCTCTTTAAAAATATTCCTGAACATGATCCTCTTAAAACCTTACAAGGGAAAATCTATAACAATGTCCCAAAAGGCTATTCCTGAATATGATCCTCTGAAGCCTTATAAGGGAAAATGCAAAAATGTCCCAAGAGGCTACCGAGCTTCTGCTCACAACGAGACTTCCCCTCCAGCCACCACATCAGTGCGGCAAAAACCATTGAGAGCGCCAGGAAGATGAATGCTCCGGCGAGGCTCGCCTGGTAAGCCTGCGCCCACCCTTGGGTTTTAGGGTCTAGGGTCTAGGTCTCTAGGGTTTAGGGTTTAGGGTTTTGGGTTTAGGGTTTGAGGTTTGAGGTTTTGAGGTTTAGGGTTTAGGGTTTAGGGAATACTTGGGGCGCTTTAAAGTACCTCCTATATAGGGACTTTGGGGCCCAAGTATCCAGTAATAAGGTACATGGACCCTTCGGGCCATGTCCAATCCGAAGGTGCGTTGCAACTCCGCAAGTACTATCTATGCAATATTCAACATGCCCTTGGACATACCCTGGAAAGGAATTACGGGGGTATGGTATGCTTTCTTTAAAGGGTTGAGGGGCATGGATTTGGGGTTACGGTATGTTGAAGTATTTTGAGATACTTAGAGGCTCAACCCTAAGTCCTAAACAACTTCACCCCGCAAGCCCCTAAACCCTAAACCCTAAACCCTAAACCCTAAACCCTGAACCCTGAACCCTAAGCCCTAAGCCCTAAGCCCTAAACCCCAGAACCCTAAACCCCAGAACCCAACCGCACGCCTGCGCCGACCACTGAAGGCCGTAACTCATCAGTCCTACCTCAGCCAAGAATGTAAAAAGGTTAGGGTTTAGGGTTTAGGGTGTAGGGTGTAGGGTTTAGGGTTTAGGGTTTAGGGTTTAGGGTTTAGGGTTTAGGGTTTAGGGTTTAGGGTTTAGGGTTTAGGGTTTAGGGTTTAGGTGACAGGGTTCGGGTCCACCTAGCCGCCCAACTGTACTTGCTGATTTTTGGCTTGTTTGTCTGTGCTCCTTTTTGTGACTTCCTTGTTGGTTCTCTGTACGCGTCTACGTACTTCAGTGAGACAAGTTGTAAGGAACAAGGTCCTGTCCAAGTCACTCAGGCGGGTTTCTATGTGTTGATCTGCCGCTGCATGTTCAAACTATTCAATTCACGTTATGTTGCCCCTAAACCCTAAACCCTCAACCCTAAACCCTAAACCCTAAACTCAAGATTTGTGTTGTGCTGAATCTTGCTTGCCTACGTCGATGCACGATGGGTCTAGGGTTTAGGGTTTAGGGTTTAGGGTAGAACATATATTGCACCATGCCCTATATGTGGCCGTGATGTCTTTGGCGATAGGCTTTCTGCAACTTTCCCTCCTCTATCTGTTTCTTGCTGTCGTTCTTGCTCTCTCAGCTTGTGTCGTACCTTGGGAGTGTTCATCATGACTTTTCTTGCTGGATAGCGCCGTCCACCAAACTACCAAACGATTGAGAAACCAGTGGCAAAACTCAAAAACATGTACTGTAAACTTGAAGGTCTTGGGGCTAGGGTTTAGGGTTTAGGGTTCAGGGTTTTAGGGTTTAGGGTTTAGGGTTTAGGGTTTAGGGTTTAGGGTTTAGGGTTTAGGGTTTAGGGTTTAGGGTTTGCAGAGCCCAAGCTGCAACCAAAACGATCACGAAGAGAGTCTGCAGGTGATCCAGGCAACCGAAGCGCCTGGGACAGGGTTTAGGGTTTAGGGTTTAGGGTTTTGGGTTTAGGGTTTTGGGTTTAGGGTTTAGGGTTTAGGGACTCGGCTCCATGCAAAGGATCACGCGGGCGTGACCTCTCGAGTGGTAATCTTTTAGGGACTAGGGTTTCTTTAGGGTCAACCCTATTCCCTGAAAGGTTACCATCCAAGAGGTCACGCCCGGCAAAGATTAGCATGGGGAAACGGTGTGCCTTTGAGCTACGGTTTAGGTTTCTAGGCTTAGGGTTTAGGGTTTAGGTGTTTAGGTTTAGGGTTTAGGGTCTGGGGCAAAGTTTAGGGTTTAGGATCCTTATGGGAGGGCGGTCCAAGTGGGGAGACACCTAGGGAGCCTTGGTCAGTGAACAAATGAGGAACAGACCCTCTTCCCTAACCCTAAGGATCCATGTACCGGTATAGTATAGACTTGGGACCTAGAGCTACGGGCTGGGAAGCCCTTTAGGCCCAAGTATAGTCCCTTAGGGATAACATATCTGTCTCCCCCATATGAGGGTCCCATCATTGCGCAGCATGAGGTGCTTGGGGGCCAAGACGTCGCAAAGGTAGGCCATCAAGAGGTAGCCTCATTCCCGACTCATTTCCCCTAAGCCCTGTCCGAAAGGTCCATGTACCTAAATACTTGTCCTTGAAAGTCTTTCCTAAACAGGAACTTCGGGGCCCACGCGTATGGAGGCACAAGGACCCTTAAAGGGTTGCCCCTCCTAAGTCCGGGGCTGGTTTAGGGTTTAGGGTACATGGTACAAAGCGCTCTCTGTTGTCGAAGAAACCTGTCGTTTCTTGGGTGGGTTTGGACAAAACAGGTTTCTTGGATTCGTTGTATCATCGTTGTGAGGTTTGCAGATGCGAGTCCATGTCCCTTGAGGTTAAGATATTTCAAAGTGGGTTAAGACACGTTGTCACACACCCCTCTTTGCACTAATTACCGCCTTGGGCAGGACTGCTGTTAAAACCCTTCACATTTTGGTTTCTACGACAAGCCTCGGAAAAAGCACGGGTGCTTCGTGCGACGAAGAGCTGTCCTCAAACCCAGAAAACGAGGAAGCAGAAAAACGCTCAACCCTAAACTCAACACCCTAAACCCTAGGGTTTAGGGTTTAGGGTTTAAGGTTTAGGGTTTAGGGCCTAAACCACAAGAACGAGCACTCCGCAGCCGCTGTCTTCAAAACCAGCGTCCTGCGTCTTTCTTTGCAATGGTAGCCCTGCGGTTTGCTGTCGTAAACTGCCTTCACCGGCGCCGGATTTTGCGCCATGTCTGCCGTGGCGTTTTTAAAAAATGGAGCCGAGGACTGAAGGTTTACAGGGTCAAGGTTTAGGCTTTAAGGCTTCGGGGTGCTTCTGTGTCGGCTTAAGAGGCACTCGTAAACCTCAAAAAGCTTGAGCCCTCAACCTTACACCCGGCCAAGTCCCTACCTGACCCCGTCCTCCAATGCGGAAACAACAAGGACCCCAGAGCAAGAAGAAAGGCAATGAACCGATGAAACTTCACTTGGTCGGTGTTTCGCAGCCCTTGCGCCACCCCGCGCCCGTGTGTGTTGGGGGGGGGGGGGATCCCTAAACCCTAAACCCTAAACCCTAAACCCTAAACCCTAAACCCTAAACCCTAAACCCTAAACCCTAAACCGTGGGGGCAAGGATGAAGCCTTAACTAGCCTCAACTCACTTCCCCTTTGTACCCTCTACGCTAAACCTTGCCTTGCTTCGAGGACCCTCAACATAGAGGCTAGGGCCAGTTCGAATTCTACTGAAGACCCTATTAGGGCTCAGAAAATGCGGGCTCAGGGTTCTAACCCTAAACCCTAAACCCTTTTCAAGGGTACAAAGGTCACTTCAGGCACGCCCCAAAACCCATGTTTAAGCACAAGCCAATCACCAACACAACCTGAAAGGGTAAAATGGGAACCGATGAGAAACCAATCACCATATAAAAGGTTTAAGGTTAGGGGTTTCGGGCTCAGGGTGAGGGGTTTAGGGGTTTAGGGTTTAGGGGTTTCGGGTTTAGGGCTTTAGGGTTTAGGGCTTAGGATTCAAGCAGGGGGACAAGCCATGAGGTAGAAGATATCGAAGGCGATGAAAATGCCCACCGCAAAGGAGAACAAACACTCGAAGGGTGCCCCGCCTTTCCTCAGGAAGGAGGTTGATTTGGGGGGTTTAGGGTTCAGGGTTTAGGGCTTAGGGTTTAGGGTGTGTCAGGGGAGGGCGCGCGCTCGGGTGTGAAGCACCCCGGGCCGCGCGCTCGCGGTGCCCGTCAACCCACCCCGGCCACCCACGCTATACTCTATTAGGGTTTAGGGTTTATGGAATTTATTTTCTTGTGCCCCGATGCTTGCTTTTATGTTTTTAAAGTTGCGGTGTTCGGGTTTAAGCTGGGGTTGGGGGTAGCCTCGGCCCTTTTCGGGCCTTCGACGTGTCAGGGCCCGTAGAGGCCCTTTTTTATTTGAAGGTCAGAGAAACCCTTTGCGCCGGCTCCTGGATTCCCCTTCTTTAAGGGCCTCAAGCCTTTTTGGTGGCTCTTGGGGCTTCTTGGGGGCTTCCTGGGGGCTTTCCTGGCCCTTCTGGGGGGTGCCCAAAACTCGTTCTTAGTACAACAAATCGCATTTTTCCTTGCGGGCACGGGTAAATCCTGGGGCCCCAAGTGTAGGCCTCGGCCGAGCGTTCGGGGTCTGTCGCTCGACGGAAGCGACCCCTCACTTAGTTTAGGGGACCTCTAAAATAGACCCGACTCCCAGCAAGCATCCTTTGCTTTTAACTGGAATCACTCTTTTCCGAGCAAGCACCCTTTAGGGTTTAGGGTTTAGGGTTTAGGGTTTAGGGAGCAAGCACCCTTTAGGGTTTAGGGTTTAAGGCTTAGAGTTTAGTGCAAGTGGCCCTCCTTTGTTGATGGTGGGTTGCCCCTGAGGACTCGGCAGCTAGCGAGGGTGCTTAGCTTTATCGGCTTCTGTGACCGACAAGTAGCATACCCGGGGAACGTAAGTTTGACCATAAGGGTGTATGGTTTCTGTTCTAGGATCCAGTTTAGATCTTGCTGCCGCAGCCGTAAACCCGAATTGTTCTTCTGCGGTTTAGGTGTCGGGAAATGTCCTGTGAAGCCAGGCGGCCAGTTGGCTAGGAAGAACTCACTGCTCAAACTGAGGACAGGCGTGAGCCTCGTCTGGGCATGGAAGGGCTTTTGGCGTAGTATACCCTAAACCCTAAACCCTAAACCCTGAACCCTAAACCCTAAGCCCTAATCCCTAAACCCTAAACAAGAAGCAATAAACCCCAAACCTTCATTGCTTTGCTTTTGAAGTTGAGTGCTGAGGTGTAAGGTCTGGTCTTAGGGGTTCGGATTCTGCGATAGGGCTTGTTGGCCTTACATAGCATATCCGAGCATTTGGCTAGGGTTTCGGGTTTAGGGTTTGGGGCTTAGGATTTAGGGTTTGGGGTTTAGGGTTTTCGAAACTGGGCTCTTGCTCAGGAACTTATACTCATGTTACCACGATATGGTGAAGCAGCAAAGAATGAGCATCCTTCCTTCTTGCGGTAACTTGTTCTAAGTAGCTTCAGTTCCTACAACGATCACGGGAAAGGGGCAATGATGCGCAATCCTAAAGTACTCGAAGGCCCAAGTATTCCCTACTTAGGTACATGGACCCTTGAGGAAACTAACAGGTCACTTCTCTCAACTAGGGCCCCTTTTGGGGTTACTATTGCAAGGCGGCCCCGAATTTTTAGGGGCACCCAAAAGCAGACCATGACTTTCAGGAATGACCAAAACTACCTCCAGAAACTCTGGCCGTTGCCGTCGCTAACCCTAAACCCTAAACCCTAAACCCTAAACCCTAAACCCTAAACCCTAAACCCTAAACCCTAAACCCTAAACCCTAAACCCTAAACCCTAAACCCTAAACACAACCGAAGTTTATCAGTCTGGGAGCATAAGCATCAAATAGCGCCTGGGAATGCGGGTGGCAAGCGCAGTCTTCTCCAGCTCCTGCCTGCCATGGCTTCACCCTAAACCCTAAACCCTAAACCCTAGCCCTGCAGCTCCTGCTTTTCAAGCACAAGGGCGCGACCATCATTCTAGCCCGAGCTTGGGGATGTAGGGCTTCTGCTTTTTGGCACATTTCCCTGGGGCTGCCACAAACCTGAAAGTGGATTAATTGTTTAGGGTTTAGGGTTTAATTAGGGTTTAGGATTCAGGGTTTAATTAGGGTTTAGGGTGCTGGAAGTACTCCTCTTCGGGTAGTTACATGGTCCCCTTAGTATGGGCCCTTATGTTGCCGCTAGAAGGAGGAATATTTTTGGGTGGCTTCTTGAGCAAATAGTAGTTGAGGTACATGTGGAACAGCTACTTGCCTGTAAGTTGCGAGATTGGAGCCCAGTCCCCAACCCTGATCCCAAGACCTCGTAGACCTGAGACGGGATTACCCTAAACCCTAAACCCTAAACCCTAAACCCTAAACCGGATTCTCAGCCGTGCTTTTGAGCTTTCGTTGGGTTGTCCCCAGAGAGGCTTACTAGTGGGTGGGATAGAAACCGGACGAGACAAAACATGTTCAGGGTCGGTCTAGGGGTTTAGGGTTTAGGGTTTAGGGTTTAGGGTTTAGGGTTTAGGGTTTAGGGTTTAGGGTTTAGGGTTTAGGTTTAGGGTTTGGGGTTTAGGGTTTAGGGTTTAGGGTTTAGGGTTTAGGGAGCTTCTCGGGATTCTTAGCTCGGCAGGTCTCTCTCAAGTCCTGGCGCCTCAGATCTTGACGCACGAACTGGGTGAAGGCCGACTTGCTTCCATACCACTTCTCGATGGCGGCATGGATGAAGTCACCTGGAGGTTTAGGGTTTAGGGTTTAGGGTTTAGGGTTTAGGGTTTAGGGTTTAGGGTTACTACACCCAAGAGTAGCCTGAAAAATAGGAAGCGTACCCTTTTTTCGTTTAGAGGGGCTTAGAAGGGAACCTAAACCCTAACAAAAGGGAATAAGAGCCTACTCTGGGTTTAGGGTTTAGGGTTTAGGGTTTAGGGGTTAGGGTTTAGGGTTTAGGGTTTAGGGTTTAGGGTTTAGGGTTTAGGGTTTAGGGTTTAGGGTGCTTAACATAATCGAAAAGTACAGACAAGCTTGAGACCCTCACACACCGGCGCCCTAAACGTGCGCCTAAAACAACAAAAGCCCTGAGTGCCGTCCGTGGGGCGATCAAATTTCTCGGCACAGTCTACCTGATCCAAGTCGAAGGAGGCTAGCTGGGAGACCAGTTGGTGCTTCTCCCGGAAGTTCATTCGGAGCAAATAAATACCTGGGATGGCTTGGGATGTTCCCCCTTTATACTAACAGTCCTCAATGTGGATGATAGTACCCCCCTAGTATAGTCCCTTTTAAGGACTGCTTATACTAATAGTCCTCAATTTACTAATAGGGACTATAGTTCTCCCCCTGCCCCCTATTATAATCCCTATTAAGCCCTAAACCCTAAACCCTAAACCCTAAACCCTAAACCCTGTTTGTATAAAGGGGGGGAGGGGGGTGGGCATCCCAAAGGATCCCTCTGAAAAAATATCTCCTGAATAGGATCCTCTTAAAGCCAGTTGGGGGAAACATAACATGTCCCAAAGCCTCTTAAACCCAATAAGGGAAAATTGGGTTTAAGGTTTAAGGTTTAAGGTTTAGGGTTTAGGGTTTAGGGTTTAATGTCCCAAAGGGCCTACCGAGATACCGAGTGAGTAGGGGCACACCCACATGGCGAAGCCAAAGCCAAGCAGTATGGCACCAGGGCCCAGGATGTCCCTGGCGATCAGAAACGCCATGGCGAAGACGTACGTTGAAGCCATCATCACCTAGGAACAAAATTAAAAAAGTGTATCCTTTTTGGTTTTGAGGGGCTTGCAAGGGAACCCTTACCCTAAAGAAAAAGGAAGTAAGGCCCTAATCCAGGTCCTAGTCACCGACACGACCCTTTCCACGAAGAGGGGTCTGAACGTAATCTTTCCCTCCGGGTTCACTTTCTTGTATGCCGCAAGCTCGAAGACACACCAGAGCCTCGCCACCGGCGGTGCAGTTTAAGGCTTAGGGGTCTAGGGTTCAGAGCAACCAAAGCTCATGCATACCTTAAACCTAAACCCGAAACCCAATATAAACCCTAGACCCTAGACCCTAAACCCTAAACCCTACACCCTAAACCTTAAACCCTAGACCCAGTTGCAGGCACGCATGGCTCCCGGATGGCTATTATCGGATTTTCCTGGGGAGCTCACCAGCCTCGACAGGTACGGCGAGCTCCACAAGATGCGCAGCTCTGAGGAGATACTCAAGAACCTTGGCGACTACATGAACCCTAAACCCTAAACCCTAAACCCTAATCCCTAAACCCTGAACCCTAACCCTACTATAACCCCTATTCAGGTATGCGGACCATAAACCCTTTAGTGTTCAATTCGTCCCCAAGAAACCCGGCGATTCCATACACCCCGCGCTCCATCAGCATGTGGTCCACCTGCATCATATGCATCCGCGCCCGAAACGCTTCCCTAAACCCTAAACCCTAAACTCTGAGTTCGCACACGAAACTGCAAGCTGAACGTCGTGTGGGGTTCCAGGCAGGCTGAAGCCCTCTCAGCCAACCTTAAGGGTTAGAGTTTAGGATTTAGGGTTGCAGGCTTCCATGTCTGCAGGCAGGGCTCACCCAGAAACCCAAAAGAATCCTTTCGGTTTTTTGGGTTTAGGGTTTAGGGTTTAGGGTTTAGGGTTTAGGGTTTAGGCTTGGGGTTAAGGGTGTAGGGGTTAGATAGGGATTAAAGTGTTGGGGGACCCATGCAGGATTTAGGGCTTAGAGTCCCGGCTACTGAAGCTTCGAGAGTACGATCCAGCCCGAGTTAACATGTAAACACCAAGCCCCATATTGCCGAACTCCGCCTAACAGCCCGTTTAAGGCCAGACCCCTTTGGTCAAAGAGGACCTGGTGGATGCTGGTGACGTCCACAAAGCTGATATCAGAGCGCTGGCACCTCGACGCAAGAGTAGACGAGCTCTTCGGGTGTGTTTAGGAGCTTTAGCTTAGAGGTTCAGGTATTTTACTAGTAGGTCCTCAAAGCTCTCGAATTTCCTACATAGATTCCTGCTAAACACAGCAGAGGAAATTTCAGACCCTAAACACTAAACCCTAAAACCTAACACTTGCTGTACCGGCCCGATTTTTGTTTAGAACCCGCTGGGATGCTGCTCCTGATGATGATGATGATGATGATGATGATGATGATGAGGATGAGCATGATGTCGTGTGATGATACTCAGGATGGACTTCAGACGTGTATGCTCATTAGATGACACTCTCTGTTCGGGTTCATGCTAACCTGAAGCCCTCAAAAACCCTTAGTGGGCCCAATCCCGAACCCTAGCAAACCTCGAACATGAACCCTAGTCTAGTCCTAAGAGGTCACCTGTGAACAAAGCAAGGGTACCCTTTTTCTTTGGGTTATCAACTTTTAAGGGAACCTAAGCCCTAAAATGAAGGGGAAGAAGGGACTCTGGGTCCCTAGTAGCCCTAAACCCTAAACCCTATACCTTAAACCCTAAACCCTGAACCCTAAACCCTAAACCCTAAACCCTATACCTTAAACCCTAAACCCTAAACCCTAAACCCTGAACCCTAAACCCTAAACCCTAAGCCCAAAACCCCCAACCCTGAACCCTAAACCCTAATTCCTAAACCCTGAACCCTAAACCCTAAACCAAGAAGCCGCCTGTCGGGCAGCAGGGGAACCGATGCCAGACTCAGCACTGTGGTCAGGAAGGCACCAAGCAACACCCAAAAGCCTCGGAGGATTCGAGGATGTGGGGGATTTAGGGTTTCGGGCTTCAGGATGGTTTTGGGGTGGAGTTTAGATTGAAGGGCTTGGAAACAACGAAAACCTTCATTAAGGTTTAAAGAGCCAGGGATTCAGGGCTTCGGGAAGTCTCGCGCCCGCAACCCTAAACCCTACTCCCAATCACTAAAACCCCCCCCCCCCCCCCCCCGCCCCCGTCGCTCCCAAGAAAAACTAAACCGAACCCCTGAACCCTGACTTTGCCCTAAACCCGACACTTGGAACCCGAAACCGTGAGCCCCAAACGACCCAACCCTACCCCCGAACCCGCCCGAATTGAAAACGTCCAACCTCCCAGGTCCAAGCTCTTTGGCACAAGTCGAGAAGCCCATGGGGCATAGGCCGGTGAAGCCCAGAATCCGCGCCTCTTATCACCGGCTTCCCTAGGTTCCAGCCTGAAATAACCTTAATTAGGCTGAATCATACTATATATACTATATATGTACTATATATACTATATATACTATATATACTCTATATACTATATATACTATGTATACTATATATACTATATATATATATATATATATTATACTATATTATATATATATATATATACCCCTAAATAACCTCAATTTTTGAGGGGAAGCTAGGATAGAGGGGGGTAGTCGGGGAACCCATGAACCCTAAATCCTAAACCCTAAACCCTAAACCCTAAACCCTAAACCCTAAACTCTAAACCCTAAACTTAAACCCTAAACCCTTAATTATGAGGGGATCCTAGGATAGAAGGGGTCGTAGGGGAGCCCATGCCTCATTTACTGAGGTCGCAAGGTTCTTGCCGGTCTTTAGGGATGATGGAGTTCAAGCTGAACCTCGCCCCTAAACCCTAAACCCTAAACCCTAAACCCTACACCCTACACCCTACACCCTACACCCTAAACCCTAAACCCTAAACCCTAAACCCTAAACCCTAAACCCCTGTTCCTGTGGATGGCCTTGTACTTGAAAGGCATCGGGAGTACATCAGCCAGGCAGAGGCCGAAGCAAAGAAACACGGCGCCACACCAGCAGAGCAGGACGTGGTGCCAGCCGCACTGGAAGGACAGCGAGAGCACCTTAGACTCTTTGGGGTTTGGGGTTTAGGGTTTCGGGTTTAGGGTTCAGCGTTTAGGGTGTAGGGTTTGGGGTGGGGGGGGGGGCAATTTGGACTAAAACTCTCGCCCCCGCCCTCCCCGCCCTCCCCGCCCTCCCCGCCTCCCCCCAAAGCTTCCAGCTTTTTCCCAAGAAACAAGCACTATATGCACATAATACACACATATGTACAACACATATATACATATCTATATATTAAAATAGTCGCCAAGGTCGAACCTCTTCGTAGCCCCTACGATAAGGATGAGGCCCCAAACCCCAAATCGAAAAAACAACCACTAGGCCCGGTTTAGGGTTTGGGGTTTGGGGTTTAGGGCCCCCCCCTTGCAGATGGATCCCAAAACGAACGCTCTCTGCATGACAGCCCAGGTGCCTTCCATCTGCCAGGCGTCCTCCAGGTGTGTGAGATGAACATCTGAAACTCTGGCACCTTCCAGGGCCCCGAAACCCTAAACCCTAAACCCTAAACCCTAAACCCTGGCAAGAGTCCACCAAAGCTCGATTTCGGGCTAAAGCCTACTTTCCGTGCGCGCGATTAACACGCTCAAAACCACCCTAAACCCTAAACCCTGAACCCCTATACCCTGAACTTTAGAGCCTTAAACCCTTAAAACCCCAAAAGTCTATAGCCCCTAAGTGGTAGAAGCGGCAAACCTCGTGCCTTCCAGTCCGGCTGTTTAGGGTTCATGGTTTAGGCTTTGGTTCAGGGTTTGAAGTCTAGGGGCTTTGGGTTCAGGGTGGACTATACTGATGGGTTTTGGGCTTAGGATTTAGGGTCTAGGCTGTAGTATATCAGGCATGCAGTAGCCAATGGTTTCGGGGAACTGGATGTACGGTAAGATGCTCGTCCGGTTGAGCAGTGTAGCCGCCTCAGCCCACATAATCTGCTTCTCAAGCTCATACTTAGCATGGCAAGTGGTTCATAGGGAGTGTCGACTCACCGGTAAACACTGGAGCCTAGACCTATCCGAGGACAATGAAGCCCGTTTGCAAGAAACAGATGGGAACATCTAGCTTCCACTGAGCAACAGCAACAACACAATAAGAATGTTGACAAGTCATGCTTAAATTGATCCTGTTGCATAACATACTCACATATAACATCAGAAACCAAAAGCAGCTTACTCTTCGTAGAAGTTAAGGCATATTCCTTCAATTGTCTTTGGAGGTTCTGATTCCTCGCGCCACCCTCAAGGGTTTAGGGTTTAGGGCTTAGTTCGTGAGATATGTGAGAGCCGACCTAGGACTTTAGGGTTTAGGGTTTAGGGTTTAGGGTTTAGGGTTTAGGGTTTAGGGTTTAGGGTTTAGGGTTTAGGGTTTAGGGTTTAGGGTTTAGGGTTTAGGGTAGGGTCCTTCAAGGGAGGGGGATTCATGCGGGGTAGGTACCTAGGAAACCTCGAGCCTAGGGGCAGCTTCCTGGTCCCTTGGTAAGGGCCCTTCAAAGGGGACCCCTTATATGCCCCTTTGGGTTTAGGGTTTAGGGTTTAGGGTTTAGGGTTTAGGGTTTAGGGTTTAGGGTTTAGGGTTTAGGGTTTAGGGTTTAGGGTTTAGGGTTTCTACCCTACACAACCCAAGGGCCCGTACTTCAGAACCCTTTAAAAGGAGGTAAGGAACCGGACTAAGGGCCGATAGAACTACCCTGAGATTAGGGAAGCCATAAAGCGAGTCGTCGGGAGTACTCGGGAACCTTGGGTTACATAGCCCTTGAAGCCCCTCCCCAAACCCTAAACCCTAAACCCTAATTTTCCCTAAGCCCTAAACCCTAAACCCCAAACCCTAAACCCTAAACCCTAACAAACCCTAACAAACCCTAAACCCTAAACCCTAAACCCCAAACCCTCCTCCCTAAGGACCCGAGAAGAGGATGGTGAGGGGCCAGGATGTCATGAAGCAGACGTGTATCCCCTCCCTGCTACTAGGGCGGGAAGGATGAAGACTTCAACCCAACATCCTCAACCCAGCCCTAAACCCTAAACCCTAAACCCTAAACCCTAAACCCTAAACCCTTCAAAGCTCCAGGGGCACCTCTTTCGAAAGCTGGTAGAGGCTCATGCGGTCTTCCATCGACCTTGGGCAAAGAGCTCGTAAGGTTTAGGGTTTAGGGTTTAGGGTTTAGGGTTTAGGGTTTAGGGTTTAGGGTTTAGGGTTTAGGGTTTAGGGTTTAGGGTTTAGGGGTTTAGGGGTTTAGGGGTTTAGGGGTTTTCGGGATTGGGGTCTCGCTCTAAGGGTCTAAGGGCATATGAGCTTAAGGGTTTAAGGGGGGTCTCAGCATTGAATTGTGTAAGGGCTTTGTGGTTTTAGGGTTTAGGGTTCAGGGCCTAAGGGCCTTTAGGGCTGAAAGTGTAAGAGCTTAAGGGTTCAAGGGCTTAACTGTTTCGGGTTTAAGAGTTCAAGAGCTTTGGGGTTTAGGGCTTTTATTGAGTTTTTGCTGAGGAGGCTTAAGCAAAATTCAGCCTAACGACCAGGTTTGGGGACTGTAATATATTTAGTATTCCCTTGGGTTGAACTTGTATAAACAAAAAAAAGCCCAAGGGGGCTATATCCAAAAATTCAGAAAAAGGGACCAGGTTTGGGGGTGTAAGGGTTCAAGAGCTTTGGGGTTTAAGGGGGTTCGTTTTGGGTTTTGGAGGAGATGTCAGCTAAACTTCTGCCCAGAGACCAGGTTTGAGGGCCGTAAAATGTTTACTATTCCCTTGGGTTTTTTATGTAAACAGCAAAATCCTAAGAGGGCTATGGCCAAAATTCAGCCCAGAGACCAGGTTTGGGGGCTGTAGCGCCAGACCCGACCCAGATTGGCCAGCGACTTCCGAAGGGAGATGCCGCGGACGATTTCCATGTCGACCTGTCCAAGGCATCTGGGACCCTGACCCCCTAAAACCCCTAAAACCGGCAAAAACCCCTACACGCCTAAACCCCTAAACCCGAAACCCCTAAACCCTAAACCCGACACCCCAAAACCCTAAACCATATACCCTGCAGTTAGTAGGCTGTAGCCTACCAATTTCTGTTTTGGTAGGGCTCAGGGATTCAAGGGCTTAGGGTTTGGGGTCTAGGGTTTGGGGTTTAGGGGAGGTTTAGGGTTCTCAACCCGAAATCGAAAGGTACACATGCTCAACCTGTCCACTTGAGTCGTGCTTCAGGCTCAGGGTTGTAGCGCAGGTGCGGTCGAGGTTTTGTGCGAACAAGACTCCGCACCCTAAATCCTCGACACTGAACCCCGAAGCCCTAAGGCCTAAACCCTAAACCCTAAGCCCTAAGCCTTAAACCCTAAACCCTGAACGACTCGACCCAAGACCTCTGAACCGGGAGTTGAACGGAAAGCAGCCCCAAGAACCTTCGCTCTTTGAGATAAATGGGGCGTTGATCTGAATTTTGGTGCTCTTAAGGTGGGTCTCTAGCCACGGTTTAGGGGTAAGGGTTTAGGGTTTAGGGTATATTCCTTGTACCCTAATGAACACCCCCCCCATGTGGACTGCAGACCCTCTCAACGTGAGATAGAACCCGTTATCCTGCGTTCCCGAAACCCGAAACCCGAGACCCTAAACCCTAAACCCGAAACCCTAAACCCTAAACCCTAAACCCACATGCGGACCTCGGAGTACCTGCCGTGCGTGACGCGCTGGCTCTTGCCTTGAGTGCCGGGTTTAGGGTTTAGGGTTGAAGGTATAGGGCTCGCGGGCGCGTTGAAGAGACACAAGTTTCGGTATTTGCTGCCCCACGGTCCAAGTTTCACGGAAGAGTATTGGGTTCAGGGTTCAGGGTTCAGGGTTCAGGGTTTAGGGTTTAGGGTTTAGGGTTTAGGGTTTGGGGTTTAGGGTTTAGGGTCTAGGGTCTAGGGTTTAGGATGTCAACCCAGGGCCACCTACAGGGTTCGCCCTCACTTTTGCACAGTCTTCGGGGGGGGCATGCAAGGAGCTCCCTTCCCACCCCCCGAAAACATCAGAAACCCAGATGCTCCACGATTTCTTGGGCTCGAAAGGTTTAGGGTTTAGGGTTTAGGATTTAGGGCTTAGGGTGAGGGTTTAGGCTAGTTTCTTGGTCCCTTAGTAGGGGCCCTTGAAAGGGGACCCGTTATATGCCCCTCATAAACCCTATACAAAATAACTACCCTGAGAGTGTATGGAAGGCCCGCAAAAAACCTATTAATCGCATGGGGGATTACCGTTTCTATCTCAGACCCGTTTTGCAAGGTGAGGTGGAACACTGACTATGCGGGTTAGGGTTTCGGGGTTCGGCGTTCGGGGTTCGGGGTTCGGGTTTAGGGTTTAGGGTTTAGGGTTTAGGGTTTAGGGATACACCTCTTTGTCTGCTCCGTACGGCTAACCTTTTGCAGCTTGCAGAATCCAGTGATCTCTTTCACCTTGCTTAGCGCGTAGAGGCACCCACGTCCCAAACACGTAACACCAAACGCACTCCACACAAAATTCGATGAGCCGAGGTGAACCCAGCCCAGCCGAAAGAGAAACTGCCTTCCATATCATGGATGTTTACCACGTTTCTACAGTAGGCTTACAATTCCTGTGAATCCCCAGTACCCCAAGATCCTACACCCTAAGCCAGCCCAAACGACCCTACACCCTAAATCCAAAAACCCTAAACCCTGAACCCTAAACCCCCTAAACCCCAAACCTCGTCTCGAGCATTCTCCAGGCCACTGATGCCGATGGGCATGGGCTTGGACTTGGCATGGCCGGCCTCAGTAGGTCCAGTTGGGCGCTTGCGGCTGCAACTTCTAAACCCTAAACCCTAAACCCAAATCCCAAAACCCTAAACCCTAAACCCTAAACCCGAAACCCTAAACCCTACACCCTAAACCCTAATTAAACCCGAAACCCTAAACCCTACACCCTAAACCCTAGAAACCCTAAACCCTAAACCCTCTGCTAAAGAAATCACGAGTTTTCCCGGCCTCTGGTTCTGCAAGCTCCATAGATTCCATCTCCGTCACTGGCAAGGCGTTCGTTCCTCGCCCCTGTTCGGTTTAGGGGTTAGGGTTTAGGGGTTAGGGTTTAGGGTTTAGGGTTTGGGGTTTAGGGTTTAGGGTTTTGGGTTTGGGGTTTAGCGTTTAGGGTTTAGGGGTTTAATTCGGGTTTAGGGTTTCGGGTTTAAGATGTAGGGGTGTAGAGGTTTGGGATGTAGGGTTTAGGGGTTGAGGGTTCTGAGGCTTTGGGGCCTTAAGCTTTCGGATTCAGGGTATTGGGCCTTAGAAGCAACATGTATAATCAGCTCACGCGAAGAGCCGTCCTTGGGAAACATAGAATTTCATAGCCAGTCGTCCAGACTGGCTAATCCGTGACCACAGTGCGTGACTTTCTCGAGCTTAAGGCTAACATCAGAGGGTTTATGTACAGCACCCTAAACCCTAAACCCTAAACCCTAAACCCTAAACCCTAAACCCTAAACCCTAAACCCTAAACCCTAAACCATTAGGGCGCAGGGCTTCTCAGGGGTTAAGGCTTATCTACGACTTGGGGCTTACCATCCTACCCTAACCACGAAAACCACACAACCCTTGCCCCATAAAACTGTACCTCGTAAACCGTGCAGTCAATTTGGGTTTCAAAGTATGACACAACAAAATGGGGGAAGCCCCAGCCCCAAACCCTAAAAGAAACACCAAATTGGCAACGGAAGGAACCTAAACCCCTAGACCCCAAATCCGTCCTAAAGTCCTAAACCCCTACACTTAACCCTAAACCCTAAACCCCAAACCCGAGAGACTTGCGAAATGGACCCGGAACAGCAAGAAACTACCCTCAGGGTCCCTGAACCTGAATATTCCCTTTTGGGGGGCCTTAAAGTACTTGCTATATACCATGGGTTCCCCCACTACCCCCTTCTATACCCCCCCCCCCCCCGGGCATCATCCCTAAACCCTACACCCTGAACCCCAAACCCTCGCAGTCTCCGCCTCGTCCTCAAGGCCGGCTTGGGCAGGCTCTTGCTGGCCCGGGACAGGGTGCGCAGCAGGAATGGGTCCTGCTCACGCGAGATGGCGCGCGCTCCGCGAGAACGCGTTACAGTAAGCTCCAACAGTTGGAGCATCCTTGTCCCTCTACCCCAACACGTATACTAAAGGGAACCCCAGCTCTAATCCCATACACCAAAAGGTATACTAAAAGGAATCCCAGCTCTAATCCCATACCCCAACACGTATACTAAACGGAATCTCAGCTCTAAGCATCCTTAAACCCAGCTTTCTGGAGTTTGCTCTATGTCCCTTAAAAGGAAGCCGAGCCTTCCTGAGTCCTGGCTCTGAGGCCGGGCAGTGGTAGCCCAGTAACCATATTACAGTAAGGTTTTTTTTTTTTTGAAGGGTTTATTTAGGGTTTAGGGTTTAGGGTTTAGGGTTTCGGGTTTCTTTGTATGGGGACCCATAACAAAAGAAAGGGCAAAGGGTACCACTCGGCTACCAAGCTCGTCCCCCCCCCCCCCCCCCCCCAATACTAATCCCTACATTGCCCGAGTACGCCGGAATATCTTTCTTTGTCTGGCAGGGGTTCCTACGCAAATAGTAGTTGGCTCAGGTTTCAGACTCACAGGACTTAGGGCTTAGGGTTTAGGATTTAGGGTTTAGAGCGCTTGGGAGTCTACGAGAATAAGGGAACCCCGAATGCAGACTCCTCCCCCCCCCCCCCCCCCCCCCCCCCCCAAAAACAACAAAAGGATGCCCTCAACATGCGTTTAGGGCTAAACCCGCTAAAGCAAAAACAGTCCAACCCAGCAAAGCTTAAGGAAAGTGTTGTGCAGGTATGCGAGCAACCGGATGCAGGAAAAGGGCTTTCTGGTTCAGGGTCGAGGAGTTTAGGGTTTAGGGTCTAGGGAAGGGTGCTGGCTGTGTTTTAGCCGCAGCTCATGATTTGCTGAGTTCTCCGATGTGAATTGGTTTTGCTTGCTTTTTTTGCTGTGTGGCTGGTGAATGTGGAAGGAGAGCAGAGACACGATTATGAAAGCTAACAGCTGTTGTTCACTTGTGCTGCATGTGCTGACGGTCATCATTCGGATTGTTTATCACCAGGATTTGCAAGGCGCACGAATCTGCGCAAGAATGCGCACCAACAGCAACACATGGAAATAGCCCGATTCAAAAAACAACTCACAACCCCAACCTATAACTTGCCTTCTCTTTCAATGCGCTTCTCCTTGGAACGTTCTTGACGGATCCACGATGCTGAGATTTCATTCTCAACCTTGAGCCCTGAACCGCGAAGAGGTGAACTTCTAACCTACAAGGTTGCCGGCTTGGGGGGGGGGCGGGGGGTTGCAGACAGAGCTCAGATTCTCAATCCGGACAACTGTTAGTGAGCGAGCCCCTTAGCAAAGAACACACCCCTCCACAACAGAACCTAAGCACTAAAGCCTCCCCCCCCCCCCCCCCGCCCAGCGGCCTAAACGCTAAATTGTCTGCCCTAAACCCTAACTCTCAACCCTAATCCCTCAACCCTAAACCCTAAACCCTAAACCCTAAACCCTAAACCCTAAACTACAGGGGACTCTTGGAAATCGGACTCCTGCATCGCAGATCTCGACTGCCAACGCCGTCGAACTGGCCGAATCCTTCTGCCGCACAGAACCCACGGAGGCCAACGCACTTCTGGGTTCAGTTTAGGGTTTAGGGTTTAGGGTTTAGGGTTTAGGGTTTAGGGTTTAGGGTTTAGGGTTTAGGGTTTAGGGTTTAGGGTTTAGGGTTTAGGGTTTAGGGTTTAGGGTTTAGGGTTTGGGGTTTGGGGTTTGGGGTTTAGGGTTTGGGGTTTAGGGTTTAGGGTTTCGGGTTTCGGGTTTAAAGATGAGGTCGCTCCCTAGATCTGAAAACAGCCGAAGCCCTAAAACTCTAAACCCTAAGTTCTCAAGCAGGCAATCTTGTCTTTAGACAGGCCCCCAAGCCTTCGGTACGTATACTTCGAGGCAGTGAGGCTTTGGGGTTTAATGTTTATCGGCTTTGGGGTTTAGGGGCTTATAGGGTGGTTGTCAGCCCCCACCACCGTGCACCTGCTGCACCTGACAGCAATCTGCAGGCGCAGGCAACGAGGTTGCCACTCCCATGGCGGAGGGAGCCCGAACCCCACGGAATCGGGCTCCTGAACGCTTAGACCAACATGCTACGGCGCAAATTAGGGATGTAGGGATTAGGGGCCTCTGTGTGTGTGTGTGTGTCAAAAGCTATATACTCGAGCTTCTTCTAAAGGGGGGGAAACCGTCATACCAGGAATACAAGGGGGGTAGCTTTCTCCCTCAGAGTGGCAAGTCCTTCGCAAAGCCCTCAATCGCGAAGCCCTCGTTGTTTGGGTGGGGCTAAGGACTTTCAGGCTTAGGGGTTTAGGGTTTACAGTTTTGAGTTTAGCATCTTCAGTCCCTAAAGATGTGCGACCCCCCTCCCCCCCCCCCCCCCCCACAAAAAAGAAAAGTTGGCAATTGGAGGCCGAGTATGGTGCGCTTGGCCAGCCCAAACCAAAAAACGATGCCCCAGCCCCCCCCCCCCCCCCCCGATTGATTGGGCTGTAAAGTACTTCCTAAATAGGGACCTTCCCAAGTATACTATACAACCTTAGGGTCCTCAGTCCTCAGGGTAGGTGTACTTAAGCTGAATCCTTGTGGGCCGGGGGCAGGGAGCAGGATGTGGAGGCTACACCCTAAACCCCAGACGTTTAAACCCTAACCCGAAACCCCAAGTAAGGGAGGAGAAGTCCTTCGGGAGATGCCCAGAGTTTGAACCGTAGCTCAGGTAGGGTAATAAGGGCCTAAGTTGGGCCTAGGGTGTTTTTGGGTTAGGGGTTCGGGTGTGCCCGGCGAAGTCGCGAGCTGGGAAGCGCCCAGTAGTATGCAGACATGCCCACCCCGAGACCCAAACACTCCTCAAAACGAAGCCAACCGGAGCCAGCCGAACCCGATTTTACATACTACATACCTCCGCAGACTGCACCCGTGGAGCTTGACTTTCAACAGACGAAGACTTTGTGGAGCTCAGTAGGAGCTTCCAGCGGCGGGGGACGTCTTCGGCCGGAGGGCTTTTTCATTGCTTAATCATTGAGTCCGGAATGCCAAGGCCACTCCCCAGGGGCCTCCCGGGCCAGGGGGAATCGATTCTTGAGCAGGTACCTAGGCTGACCGGTGCGGAGGGCCGCTCTGGCATTTTGGCTGAGCAAATTTTGTGGGGTTCAGGGTGATGAACACCATATATCCAGTGACAGAGGCAGGCCACTCCCAATGTGCCTAGCACTGCAGCCCAGCAGAGCCTGCCCTGGTCTCGCTGAGCGCTCGATTGCGCCCGCCTCACCCCAACAGAGGTGAGAGGAGCGGCGGGTGGGTTTAGGGGCATTTGGCCGTTAAGCTTTCAAGATTGGGATCTCGCCGTGTGTGCTGCCTTTAGTTGGGGTCTTAGGTTGGAGAAAAGCTGCAGCTGCCCTAAGGGCCCATGTACCTAAATAGGTACTGGTGTAAGTACTGACTCTGGGGCCCAGGAAAAATTATGAGGGGTACATGGACCTTTAGGGTTACAAGGCCTGAGCCCAAGTAAACCAACCCCTCCTGGACACGAACACATACAAGAAATCCCCCCCCGGGCCATCGCCAGAAGAGCTTGACAGCGCTAGTACAGGCTGGTTTAGGGTTTAGGGTTTAAGGTTTAGGGTTTAGGGTTTAGGGTCTCATGACTCTTGCCGCTGCTGTCGTTTTCGCGGGTGCGCGCGCTTCCCAGGAATGCACCAAAGCGCATCTTAACGCGTCGGGGCCTCTTCCCTCATCGCGGCTCGGATGGGCCCTTATGCCAGCATACCCTCTGAGAAGGCCCTTTATCGAGCTAGTCAGGTAAACCCTAAAAACCGAAACCGCAAACCGTAAAAACCTAAAATCCGAAACCGGTTCAGGTTTAGGATCCCACACCACACCGTCTGAACCTAAGGAACGGATATCTTGAACCTCCACACAAGCCCCGAAACTTACCCTAAGGGCCCGTGTACCGCACCCCAGTATATATATATATATATACATATTATATGTATATATATATATATATATATGGTACCCCCCCCCCCCAAAACCTACCGTTTCATACCCTTTTCTATGTCGAGACGTGTTTACTATATTCGAAGCCGGATATATATATATGGACATATATCTATAGATATACATAAAATACGAAATAGCAAATACTTAAAGACGCCGAAAAAATCTGCTGGGCCAGGAGTTTTAAAACTCCTCTTGTGGCTAAGCAAGGAGTTTTAAAACTCCTGGCCCCGAAGATTGAAGATTGAAGATTCCCCAGAACTCTTTCCAGGAATCTTCAATCTTCAATCTTAGGGGCCGGGAGTTTTAAAACTCCTCTTGTGGCTAAGCAAGGAGTTTTAAAACTCCTGGCCCCGAAGATGGAAGATTGAAGATTCCCCAGAACTCTTTCCAGGAATCTTCAATCTTCAATCTTAGGGGCCGGGAGTTTTAAAACTCCTCTTGTGGCTAAGTAAGGAGTTTTAAAACTCCTGGCCCCGAAGATTGAAGACTGAAGATTCCTGGAAAGAGTTCCGGGGAATCTTCAATCTTCAATCTTCAGTGGCAGGAGTTTTAAAACTCCTCTCGTGGCTAAGCAAGGAGTTTTAAAACTCTTGGCCCCGACAATCTTCAATCTTCGGTGGCAGGAGTTTTAAAACTCCTCTCGTGGCTAAGCAAGGAGTTTTAAAACTCCCGGTCCTGAAGATTTTTTCTTATGGTTAAAAATATATTACGCAACTCTAGGCCACGGTATTGTATATTACGCCACTGAAAGTGGTTCCAGTATGTATGCGTTGAATCGACTCAATTTCGACACGCAGCTTGGGCTATAAACGCGCAGTTTCCAGCCATAGCATACGCGTACTCCTCATATAAGGTTTGAAGGTTATGTGTTTCAGTTCAATTGCAGGCTTAGGTTGAAAATCATTTATCTTAAGCCCTAAGCCTTTAAACCTTAACCCTATAAAGTTTCCAGGCTGCAGGTTTCGGTTTAATTGCACGTCAAGGGTTAACTACCAATATCTTAAACCCTAGACCTTGAATTAACCCATAAAGTTTAAGGGTTTCGGTGTACTGGCAGGTCAAGGTTTAAATGCCTATATCTTAAACCCTAAACCTTTAAATGTTAACCCTACAGGGTTTAAAGGTTAAAGAATTAGGCTTAATTATTTGTTTCATTCTAAGGGTTCCGGGGCTTTTCTTTAAAACCCTAAACCCTGGATCGATAGGGGTTTAGAGTGCCTATATCTTAAACCCTATACCTTTAAACCTTAACCCTGCAAGGGTTAAAGGTTTCGCGTTTGTTGAATTGTAGGTCAAGGTTTACATGTCTGAAACTTAAATCCTAAACCTTTAAACCTTAACCTTATAGGGTGTTTAAAGGTCCAGGGTTGAGGTTTAATTGCTTAACCCTACGTTAACACCCTAAACCCTGGACCGATAGGGTTTTGGAGAATAAGCCCTGACAACACCCTTAAACAAACGCAGAACGCGCAGCGGAGTGAAGTAGAGGGGAGTGGGGGGGGGAGGGGGGTGGTGGGGAGTGTTTTTTGGTCCTGCTTATTTTGGAAGACCGACCCCTGGCACCCTCTCCCCTTTTAATTAGAAGCAAACTAAGTCCTTATAAGCAAATTTGTTGTGTTGTGGAGATTGAGTACACAGATTACATGCCAACTCATACATATAAAGCCGATACACAGTATGAATATGCATGTGAGTATTGCAACATTACGACGACTTCAATCTTTAGTTTGAGGGTCGATTCAAAACTGAATCGGCCGATTCAAGTTTGAATCGGACATATTTCATCATTATATTGGATCCCGCTCTTTAGGACTTTTTGGCGAGCAGGATTTAGGGAATAGGCGCTGAAGTGGGGAGCATCCCAAAGCTTAGTTCCCAAATCCTATTTTCTAAGGGAGCCCAAACCTTATCGCTAAGGCTTTAGCGGGGGCGAGAAGATTTATTGAGCAAGGTGGGCTTTTGTATGAGTTAGGGGGGGGGGTCTCATTTTTGGGGTTTTAAGGCTATTTTTTAGGTTCCCTCTTTAGGATTTGGTGACTCCCTCCCACCCCCCCTTCCCCAATAGGATTTAGGGAGTAAAATTTGGCCCTTAGGGAGTTAATTTCAGGGAACCAGATCTAGGGATCCCGATAAGATTTTATCCGAGCATCTGTTTAATTGGTGGGACCCCCCCCCCCCCCGCAATAAGCAAGAAAGGCAGGGCACTGCAATAATGAGACCATGGCAATGCATGCATTCTCTATTAAGCACATTAGGAATTTATTGTAGTTTCGACGATCCAGACTGCAGCTCAGAAATCAAAAACGAAGCCTGCAGACAGATTTTTGAACACCCCCGGAAACAATTCTTTCAATGTGGCGGTATTTCCCCATACGGAAACCCCCGTAATGGAAAGCAGTCTCACAGCCGGATTTTCGACGAAAAATATTTCTTTAAATGTGGAGGTAGTAATTCTCTTTTGGAATTCAGCGGCTCTCCTCTTCAGAATTTCAAGACTTCCCTCTTTAGGGCTTTGGGAAAAGACTTAGGGAGTAAAATCATGGGAATATGATTTAGGGACCCCGCTCTTTAGGATTTAGCGAGAAGATTTAGTGAGCCATTTAGTGACCCACCGCCCCCCCCCCGCCCGCACCAGATTTAGGGACTGAGGGAATATGATTCAGGGAATACGATGTAGGGATCCCGTGCTTTCGGACTTAGCGAGCAGGATTTTGGGAACAGGCTTCGTTTTTTTCGGAAATAGGGGTTTATGCAATAGAAAATTGTGCGAATAAGGTTAAAGGATTTAGGAAGCCGGTCTCCATTTTGAAGCGTTTTGGTGTCACGCAAGTGTAGAAAATTAGAAAACGGTAGGTTTTGGAGGGGGGGGGGGTAGCATATATATATATATATATATGTGTTTTTTCGCTTGGGGATTACCGTCTAGGGTTTAGGGTGCCTCAATGTTGTATACTTGGGCCCCAAAGTCCCTAAACCCTAAACCCTCAACCCTCAACCCTCAACCCTCAACCCTAAACCCAACATAGAAAATACTTCAA